GACGACTACAACCCCATCGATAGATGCCAAAATTAGAGTCTTCTTTTGGAAGGAGGAGAGTAGAGTTTCAAAATACGGGGAAATCTTGGATGGGTTTATTCCCGCTGATGAATTAATGTCGGTTTAACAAAATAAAAATATTCTACATTCAAGACGCCCAAAGCTTGAGAGGTCCAAAAATTTTTTTCGAAAATGTGATACTCAAAATAATTAACCGGTGCACCAATTAAAAGTACGAGGCCACCTACAAATATGATGAGCTTGTGAAAAAGAGAGCTGCCTGTCCACGTGCATTTTTGTGCATTTAAAATATGGAAAAGTTTAGAATGTTTCTTCTGTCGTTTAGTCAGTGTAATTAAAATGTTCGCAGTGCTTAAACATGATCTGTTTTTGTTTGTTTTCTATGATATAGACACAAAGTGAACGTGACGAGTTGTATGGCAAATTTGTCAAAGCTATACATGAGGTTCAACAGAAGAGCAACTTTAAAAACTTGCTTCTTGAGAAGAAACTGACTGCTCTGGCTGATACACTGGAGAAGAAGGTACACGCAAAAAACATCAGTGACAAGACATAGTGTATTTGTAGTTTGTTGTCTTCCTTCTAGGAAAACAAAGATCCATAATTGTTTACACCGCTGTCACATTTGTGACTTTTTTTGATAGGTGAAAATTTTTCCTGATCACTGCACATCGGTAGAAAGGCAATGGTGGTTTTACTCTCCTTTTGGTTTGTTCTTGTTGTTCCCCCGTTTTTATGAAACAAACAAAATGATTGTAGTTGAAGTATTTCGAGTCATTTTTGTGACTGAAGATAAAAACTACTGTCGACTTAGACAAGACAACAAAATATTATTTTGGTTGAGGTGGAAAAAACTTTAAGGGTGCAATAATAAATCCAAAAGGACGGTTTAAACTGCGAACAAAGGACGAACTTAGACAAATATTGGAATTTTAATAATCCACAGACAGTGTAGTTGGTCCTTGAAAGCTAAGGAGTTATTCCTTGTGTTTCGATGAGTTCATAAAAGTACACCTCTCGTCACATTAATTGTGGTCTACCCAGCTTACTTTACGAGTTTTTTCACAGGAAGCGCAGCTGAACGAAGTGTTGTCAGCATCCAATTTGGATCCTACTGCTTTAACAGTTGTAACCAGAAAACTTGAGGTGAGATTTCCATCAGTCCTCCACCAGCTCCATTAACATCTTATCAAGGTGGTTTGTCCAAGTCCTCCTCCATTGTCTAAAACAAACTTGCTGCTCGTGCTGGTGAAATTTTCCCGCCATCTCTACAGAAAATTGTTGGCCTGATTTTTGATAAGTCGTTTGTCTTTTTCTTATTACTTGTTTGCCCTGTTGAAGAACTTTTTTCGCCTTGTTTTCTTTCAGGATGTTTTAGACTCGAAGAACAGTGCTATCAAAGACTTACAGTACGAATTGGCACGTGTTTGCAAGGTAAAGAACATGACTTGTTTAATTTGTTACATAGTTACCTGTAGAACCTTTTTAGCATAGTGCCTCGAAAAGATCAGAGTTGTGTATCTTAAGTGCTTACAAAGCCGCCCTCCTAGAGGAATCAGCGGGTGTCTCGAAGATCTTCTCTCGAAAATCTTTGGTGCCAGGCTCTTCAAAGCTTTCATAAAGCATAGTTCTACAGGTCGCCTTAAGACAAAAGTTGGTCGCCTGTGGCACCCCAGCCCTGTTAGAGCAGAGCCCTGAAGTCTTAAGCCAAAAGAGGGTTACATGATACATGTTGTCCAGAATGGCAAACGGTATCAGGTTTCCTCCTCTCCCTTCCCGGCCACCCTTAACTGGCCGAGAGATCTTATTCGCAGGCTCTTATTTCCCTTGTAGGTGCGATTGTTATATAAAACTGGGGATTTAATTGAGAAGTTTGGTTTTATTTCAGGCTCATAATGATCTCATCCGAACTTACGAAGCAAAGCTCCAGTCGTTCGGAGTACCGACCGAAGAACTCGGGTTCAAGCCCCTCGAGAGCAACGTTGGAGGACAACAACTCGGCCGAGGCCCCGCGGGTCTGGTTGCTGCACCAACTTAAGCTGAAAGAGCGTTATTCTTCGATTTCGTTCATTTTAATTTCTAAGGGACCATTTTATATTAGTTCTGACACATTTATAACAATTTGTAAATAGAATTCTTGCTACATATGTAGTTTTTTTTAGAGAACTGTCTAATTTATTTACATTTTTATCTTGTGCAATTCCGTCCAGGACATTTTGCATAGAAAAACTCATTTTTACGTTTTCTGGTTTTCTCACTTAAGCTCTTTGATGTACATTTTATATGTTTCTGAAAAATACAGTCAAAGCAGTTTTCAACTAATCTTGATCTAATTAGCATGTTGTTTTGTTGGGAATTTGGTGTATTTTTCCATGTATAAAATATACGGTTATCCATTCATCCAAGCGACTGAAACTTCAGTTGAGAAAGATTCTCATTCTAAGTGTATTCCTGTATCAATGACTTGAATTGTGTGTTCTGTGAAAATTATAGCGAAAATTGTCAACTTGGAAGAAATTCTAATTAAAAATATTGATTATTCTACACTTTCGTTTTCACTAACATCATTAGCGATGGTCGTTTGCCATGCAGTGTTTGTGTTGTGGCGCCAGTTTGTCTGTGCTATTGAAAAGGCCCTGTGCGCTTTAAAATTCAGCTATAGTTCTCTTTTCGTATTCACCATTTGTCGAAAGTTTAAGTTCGTGTGCATCTTTTTTTTATCATAATTTATATAAACTGAAGAAAGTATTTCTATATTTCAAACTGTTGTTTACGCCGACAAAAGCTGCGAGACCGTATATTGGGCCATTTTGTGGGCTTATTGTTTACCCTGCAAGTACTTAACAACTTATTTTAATTATGATGCAATATATCAGTGTTTATATTGGCTGTACACGAAAGCCTTACCGAACCTGCTCCTTTCCTTAAGGTATCTACAAAAACCCCGTGCTGAAATTCCCAGAAAATATAACTTTTTGTACAACCTTCGAGGCAAAGAAATCAAAATGTGTCATGCAGAGACAATCTTGGACTCGCAGCAAACATTGATATTTATAATATTTGAATTTGAATATTAAAATAAAGTGCTGGCGTTGAGTAGCCCTGTAAGATCGTTCCCGCCACGAAAAAAGAATAGTAAAGAAAAACTTCAGTACGCTCCGTTAGAGAAAAGAAGGGTAAAACCATTCTATTAAGATAGACACGCTTGTAAAACTTGCACAGAAAAACCTGGTTTGACTGAGTCGAGCGGAATGTGAACAAGTGGTTCTTCCATGAGCCGATTAATATTCTGGAAAAAAAAAGTGATAGCTCTGATAGACTTTAGTGAAGACAATAGGTGGCTGTTGTCACCTTTTTTCCTTAAATTAAAGGAAAGTTATTTTGGGATGTTACACAACTGTTCCTCTCAAGTGGTTCTAAAAAAGGTTTCATTTTCGGGTTTTTAAATAGGAGCTTGACTCACCATCTATATGAAAGAAACAATCGAAAGACCTCAAAAATCAGATGAAGATGTTATGACTTTCCAGCCATGTGAATATTGCTTATAATGCATGACTCATTCGGCGTGCCAAACATAATAGACGGCAGTAACTGTCGTTTTCCTTCAGACAAATGAGGTTTGAAATGAATTATGAAGTAAATGAGGGACAAACAACATGAAATGAATTTGTTTGGATAATGTTTATCGATAATTTTCACAAATTTAACCGCCTGTTAGATCCGCAATATGTATACTTCCGTTGTGGAAAATTTCTCGTATTTCAGTATCTTTTTCCTATTCAATTTCTCAATAACCTTCAAGGCTTTATTTCCTCACAACGCAGGCATAGTCGTTAAGATTTGGTTTTCTGATTCAGCTATGCTGCTAAGTTACAAAATCGCCGTCAGCTTCAAAGAAAAAGCTGCATCCTTTTTCATGGCGCTGCCAGTGTAAATACTTAATAACTTTTGTTCTAAGAAGCAACAACTACTCTGATGATTGATTCTTCCACTTCCCCCCTTGCTTAGTCCTGAAGAAGATTAGTTATGCTCTTATCCTTTGAAGACTTAAAGGTGATAAGATAAATCAAAGTGTCTAAACTGGCTGCTTTTGAACGAAATTGGAATTAGTTCGACAGGTAAAGTCCACACTTCGTTTAGTTCTTTGTTTTGCTAATCCGTAATTATTCAAACGTGAGCTAGTTTAATAATCACGTGCAAAGTCCGTGGCGCGGCACCAAAGCCGGCAGCACACGGGTTTTCCACGGACCTTTCACGCAAAGTCCAGACTTTATTTTATACGTAAAAACCTTTTTTATCCTGTCCATGAGAATCGCCGGTGAAGCTCAGGTGTATCTGTTACCTTACTTGTAAAAAGATGTTGTTAGTAGAACAGTTCATTCGGAGAAGAAAAAAAAATAAAGGTTCTGCAAACAAATCGAGCTGTTGCGTCTGAAAATTTTCGAATCCTCTTTGCATCGTTCTCGCACAGGAATCTACAGAAAAATTATTCTACCTTGGAAGCTTAAAATATGTGTCAATAATAATGGAAATGAATGATTTTTAGTTTTACTTCTTATTGGTAATGTTTTTTTCCACCGATTTGAATTTTGTTCGCAGATTTTTGAAATTCACATCCGGTTATTTTCTCGGTCAAGTAACAACGCAACACTGCCCTATTGATGACGTTTCGAGTGCGAACAATGAGCTGAAAAGCCAGCTGAAAAGCAAGACAAGCGATCTAGATAAGACAATCGGGAGAAAGTGAAATATCATGAGGGCAGCAAAAAAATTGCTTGTGCAATAAATTTTAAATTTAGACCTTGGAGTTCATAATTTTCCGCCAGAAGGGCAGGGAAACCCCAGATGGTTTCCTGTATTGCGCTGATTGGTTGAAGATTTAAACATACTAATCTGATTGGTTCACTCTTTGCCCTCCACGTGAACAGGGAATGACCTTTTGGTTCGAAGTCCATTTCAAACGAAGTTCGTCAAAAAATTTTTGTGCAGAACAACAAGACCTCCGCGGAAGAACACAGCGCAGTCACTTGTGTATCTTATTTCTATGGAAAGGTAGCGGGAAATATCAAAACTTCGACACAGAATGCTCTGTTACGTGTCCCTGCCTGACTTTGTCCTTAAAGAGTTCAAAATTCGAGATAAAGCGAGAGGACAAGACCTTTTAGAAGAGGTTCGTTGTTTTGTTCTTCTCTGGGCTCAAAGTCCAGCAATTTGCTTTCAAAGTATATTTTCTGATGTAACTTTTTTCCTTCGCGTTAACTCGTCATGATTCCCTTACTTCCCTTCCTTAGGTGTGCAAAAGACTTGGGATAATTGAACTAGACTATTTTGGATTACAGTTCACAGGCCCAAAGGGCGAAACACTTTGGCTTAACACCAGAAATAGAATTCGACGTCAAATCTCTGGTACACCACCGTATCGCCTACAGTTCCGTGTAAAATTTTTCGTCCAACCACAATACCTACTTCAAGATTCCACCAGGTACAATCTAAAAATGGTTTACGAGTTTGTAAATCGTGGCAATGGTCTTAATCATGATTCTCTTTATTATTTTCCTTTGGCGCTATCTTCAACAGTAGTTTACTTGTCATGTTGAGTTGAACGGTGTCAGCTGTACACTCAAATGTTACCATTTTTTTCTTTAAAGGCATCAGTATTTTCTCCATTTGAAAAACGATTTGGAAGAAGGGAAAATTATCCCAGATCCGGAAAAAGCGGCAGCGGTGTATGCGTTGATCGCACAAGCAACCATTGGGGACCATGGCGATTCCTACTCTCCGTGTGATTATTGTCAGGCATCAGAAATTGAATCACAGTGGAGCTCAGAGTTTCGTAGCAGTGTTTCAGAGGAACATGCTAAGCTCAAAGGCGTTCGATCGGCGGCAGCGAAGCAATTTTTCATCAAAGAACTGTCTCTGATGGAAAATTATGGAATAGAGTATCATCTTGCAAAGAACGAATCAGGAAATACCCTTCACATCGGTGTTGGAAGCGAGGAGATAAAAATCTTTGATGCCGACTTCAACTTTGTTGAAAGGTAGGTGTTAAGGCTTATTAACTTTTATCATGAACATTCTGGAGTAAAAAGGACCTCTCAGGCTTACGATGGGATCTTTGGAAACAAACAACAGCCCTAGTGAATTTAAAGCTTTTATTTCATAGCCAATTAAACCCAACTTGTGCCATTAGAATCTATTTGTTGCTACACTGTATATTCGACCTATTTGTTAACAAAACGTTTACATGTTTTATCCCGTGGTTTCTATTCTAAATCAAGACATTTCCAATGTATAAAGTAAAATTTGAATTGTTCCTTGGGAATGGTTCGTCAAAAGGCCTGTTTACGCAGCATGTATGCACGAGAGACAAGAAATACCCTTAAGTCATTTCCTCATATCGAGTAAAGATCTAATTTCTTTCGGATATGTAATATGTAAACCACAACACGTCTTCATTTGTTTAATATTTTGAGTTTTGTACCTCGATAATCAGTCCCTGCCACTCGTGAAATGATTCTTACTCGAAAGCAATATGTCTGCCTCAACCTCGACCGTCCATACACCTAAGGTCTCTCTGATTTGTAGAAGAACTGCGAACACTTTTTCAATATGATACGACTAAGTTTTCAGGAACAAACCCTATCTATAAGCTACTAATGTGCTATTTCGTGAGTCCTTTAAGGTGAAAGTTCATTCTTATAACAAAGTGCATGATGTTTATTGATTAAGTTCACGCGTGTTGCTTCGAGGCTTGGGAATTTTTGATCATGAACACCCAGCAAAAATGAACCACTTGTACAATAAAATATATTTTAGGACAAAAAAGCCACTTTATTCTTACTCCATTCGCCTAAATTGCTCTCTACTGTACGAAAAAGTGTTTTGATCCGCAGAAGAAATTGCAATATTTCATTATAGCGTCCGACGTGACCAGTTTGTTTATTTAGTATCCAACCAAATGTCATCACATTTAAAATGAGGGCTTTAGCTGACTTTTTTGTTGTTGTCATAACCTTGTTCTAACAGCATCCTTTTCTTTGTATGTCCTACAAAGTACATGTAGAAGACATTTATTAGGGCATTAAGATCTATATTTAGGAAAAATGGAGTAAGATTTGCATGCGTAAAATTCAACTGTGACCTTTCAATAAGTGTTACCTTCATTACTATGAGGCAAAGCATCCCACAATTGCACTAGCTAAGTATTCCTAATTTCCAAGTTTTCATTTAGTTTAAAAGCCTAAGGGAGAATTATCAAAAGTAGATTGTGACAAAAGTGATATTAAAAAATTTACATAATTTTCATGGCTGCAAGCCAAATTGTAAATTTATGTGGACAAAAGGGAATATTCTTCTGCCAGTTTTTTGCAAGGGGTTTCCTTTGTTGCCTCTTTCAGAATGATGGATACTGGCAAACGTAAATATGCACTAAGCACAGCAAAACCTCAACATTGACTGTGACAGGATTTTTTTTTTTTTTGCCTTCTGAACCTCAAGAAGAGAATAACTCTTGGAAAAAGCAGATGATGCATTAAATAAAAAGCTATTGATTAAAACATTACTTTTTTGTGCTAAATCTGATTACCATGAATTGTGCTTGTATGGGAAGCTGTATTTTCCCCTTGTGAGATGGAAAGAATCATTGAAATACTGTGAAAGAGCCCTGTTAACCACTTAACAAATGAGTAGTGACACTTATCTTGATTTTACAATGTCGATCTTGATTTGAATCCATTTGATTTCTGCTTTGGTTACTTTGCTTTAGCCCTTCAACTTCCAAGATCTGATTGCTTATTCTCCCCTCTAGCTGCTACACATTTTCTTATAAATTAATTAGGAGAATTTTTTGTTCGATAAAGACAACAACTTCTACCTGATATCTTAAAGTATTGTTAAAACTGTTAGCTGGATAATGTCTTGATATAGTAGAGAGGAGTTAATTTTTTATCACTTTTGGGAACTAAAGAGTTAAGTATCATATTAAATTGGTGTAAAATTTTGTAATGATGTTCCATCTTATTTACATGTTAAATCAGTTATTAAGTTTTCAAAATTTTACTTTCAGATTTTTGTACAATGGCCTGAAGATGGCAACTCATGTTAAGAACAATCTTCACCTGAAAATTATAGCTGATGATGGTGAATCTTTGTTTACATTTCGACTCACCAGTCAGGAAGCTGCCTGTGCTTTGTACAGATCTATTACAGAGTATCATGCATTTTACCGTTGTGAAACTGTTCGTAATGCAGTCACTGATCAATTCACACGAGACTTGAAAGAAACCCTGATCTCTTTCTTTGGAGATGAGGAATCAGAGAAAAAGTACATCTTTGATGTACAGAGGACTTCTAAGGAAGTGTATGATCATTGTCGGAGAGTTTTGTACAAGCGAGGATGTGATCCAATTCAAAATCCCCCTGCAAAGCGTCAAGTTGAATTCAGACCTCAGACTGGTGATGCAAAAGTTGCTCAACTTCAAGAACAGTTGACCAAGATGGAGGACTCACTGAAGTGTAAGATCTGCATGGATGCACAGATTGACACTGTGTTTTGTCCATGTGGACACATGGTTTCCTGCAATGTCTGTGCAGCAAATATAGAACTATGTCCCATTTGCAGAGCCCAGATCCAGAATGCTCAGCATGTGTTCTTTCCAGTCACAGTGAGCTGAAAGTGAGGAGAGGACACCTGAACAGAGTGTTGATATTATTTGACACTTTCTGTCATTTCCAAGAACCTAGAACCTACCTCAACATGACACAAAGGAACAACAATTTGTCTAAGAAGACCCTGGTAAAGGAAGAGCACCTTTAACTGGCATTAGTGGATTTCAGAGCAGTCTTTCTAGCCACTAGTGTAGTGTGTTAGAGTATAAGAACATTTGGATTGGTTTGTGAAGATTAGGGTGAAGAGAGTAATTATGAACTAAAGCAGGAGTATGTAAAATACTTTCAAGCATTTTGGTTTCAACGGACAGCCTCCAAGGCAGAAGTATTTTTGAAAGAGAGAATAATTTTTAAGGCTTTTAATAACATGATTTGAAGGAAAGTTGAAAAGATGTATTTATAAGTTGAATTTATAAGTCTCAGAGACTTCTTATCACAAGAAAACAACCAGGGGTCTCAAACTAAAAGTTTGTTATTAATAAGTTCTAAGTATTTCACTGTTATGAATAGAATCACCATAGTTACTATACCAGCCTATTTTAAAGTTTTAGAACCTCTCAGGGAAAAGTGACAAAATGCATGTGTTTGTAGATTATGAGCAACATGAACAAGTTTTTTATCTGTTAGAGTGAGCTAGTTGTGAGTTTCATTGGTTTGAGCTGTGTTACTTTTCCTTTGTTTAGTTTGAGGCTGTGAAGTGTGAACATTTCTTGCGTTAACCTGAATCCAAGTACCTAGCTCAGCATAAGTGTATCTTGATCTGTACAGATAGGATTGTATATAATATGTACACACTTATTGGACTAAGGTGCATGTATTAATCAGGTTTGGCTTTTTGTGATTGTGGCTAACACACACTATATAGAAAATGAATTGCTAATGAAATATTTGAGAGAGTAATAATTAAGTACAATTCTTGAATATCATTTCATTGCATGGTAATATCACAGTTGCAGTAACATGACACTTATTGTTAATGTTCTTAGCTTTTTAGTCTTAAAAGCATTTGTGCTTCCTGAAGTTTTATTGAGTTGTGGCAAACTTCACCTGTTGCCTATCATCTTCTATAACTCATCTTTCATTTGTTTTCAATCATAAGCAGCAAACCCTATAAACAGTCAAAGGTAATTCGCTCATCACTGATTTTGCAACATGGTACAACAAAATATCTCATCATTTGTTATCCAGCACCTTGGGTGCATCATGTTATATTTAAGTTTCTCATTAAGTGCCTATGTTAGGTCTGAAATGTGGTGCAGGTTCAGCACAGTTCAGCAGATTTTACTTAATGTATGCTAGAGTACCTCAAATGCAACAAATCATTCTTAGATTCCATGTCCTTGTAAGGCTTTTTTCTTGAAAATCTGATATCGCAATTTTTTATAGACTCTTCAGACTTTCAAAAAATGAGGATTTTTTTTAGGTCTGTATTTCCCTTTTTGTAGCGCATGGATATTTTGAGATCTTGTTTTTGTTGTCAAAAAAATACTGCTGGAACTAAAAATGATACTTTTATCTTAAAATAGAAGTTGTAAATAACTTGATTATTACAATAAAGTAATTAATAGTTATACATGTAATGCTCCCTATGTGTCAGTTCTATTTGCTATCATTACATTAGTTTAACTATTTCACTCCCAAGAACTTCTTAATAATTCTCCTTGCCGTCTGCAATTCAATTCTTATGATGTTAGTTTGGGGAATTTGATACTGGGTCAACTGACAATCCCCTAGTGAAACTTTTTCTTTATTCCCATCACTTGACTGCTGGATATTTTTGCGGAAATATATATATATCGGACGTCTTTACTAAGAAACTTACATAGTGGATACGTCAGTCTGCGGGTGGAGTGCGTTCTCACTATTTAAGTACGAAAGGGGCAAATTCTAAGGCTACAGAATTAAATCTGTGTTTTGGGGACAAAATCCAAAAACAGTATTTTCAGGGGCTTGATAATTAGTATAGGTAATAATATGATTTCGAGTGCAATTTGGCGTCAATAAGCACTAGTAATTCTTCAAGATAATTTGTAATTTGCGCTCGTGTCTCAACTTTGTACACATGTCACATGAAGAATGAACTCGTTTTCAGCCGATCAGAAGTGCGTAAATTTTTTCATGTACATTTCTATGAACAAAATACATTTTGCATTCACAATATTGGTGGCATTTTTGAAGAAAGATTTTGGTCAAGTGTAGTTGAGGAAACGACAAAACGCGGCCTTGTAAAACTATCTGAGTCCCTATCTGAGTGTACTTTAGGTGTGGTTCTGGCCAAGCCCCCCTTTGTTGCGCAGAGTTTTTGACATAATGCGCAGAATTTTTGGCATAATTTTTGAACTCTTGTTTGTTTATTTGCTTGATTTTGAATCAGATCGTAGGATTGATTCTTAGACATTCAAGTCCATGGTTCATATCACCTCATTTGTTATGATAAGCAGAGGAAGAGGAAAATGGAAAACCGAAGGGAAGGGTTCACTCTTTTAGCTCCGTTGCCTTTATTACAGCAGAATGAGTTCAAATCGTTGTTCAAATCTACACTCTTACACGCATGCGTAACTGAGCTGTGGCTCTCCGAGAGGGTGGGGGGAGGTGGGCGGAGAGAGGAGAAAAGTAAAGTTCACTCCCCCACCCCCACCCCCACCCCACCCTCTCGGAGAGCCACAGCTCAGTAACGCATGCGTGTAAGAGTGCAGATTTGAACAACGATTTGAACTCATTCTGCTGTAATAAAGGCAACGGAGCTAAAGAAATGGAGCAAAAATTAAAATCCCTGTAGGTACTGTTGACATGGTATGACTGAAATAACTAAGACGATGACAGAGTAATTGAATGAAATAGGAGATTGACAAATGTATCACGGATGGGCAGCTGTGTAAATGGACATATAGATGACATATAAGATGGGGGAAAGCAGAAAGTTGGAGCCGAAATGGCCTAGAAAATACTTTGTTGATTCTGCTACAAAGGAGCTTATCATCATTAGTTGTCAAGGAAATGAGAATGTTTTATTAAGGTTATACATCAGCGAACCCGAGGCATACAAAAACTAAGCCTGAAAATGAATCAAGTTATTTAATTTTCAGCTCAAAAAAGAATTGAAATCTCGGGCTGTTACTCATCAAGTAGTGAATAATTTTCGTGCCTACTGAAAAAAAAGAAAACTCCCCCACTGTTTATCACTTGTGATTTACTGATCTCTCCGGTTTTGGAGTAATTCTTTGTTATGTTTATAAACCGTTTGGCAGGACAAAATTAAACCATTGAAAAATAATAAGCTTTCTTATCTTGTGAATTTATCATGGCTTTCAAGATTAACATCGAGATCTCTGTGAAATAACAACAATGCTTTTTTTTCTCTCGACTGCGGACGAAAAAAAAAAAAAAAAAAACAGCTCATCGTTGTTTGCTTATGGTCGCCTCATTTTCCAACAAGCTTCAGAGAAAAAACGAAGAATCACATCCAAATAAATCGATTTCTTAAACAAGCTTGATTTCCACCATCAGCACATTGCGTTTACCGCACAACTACCAATTTGTCTTTTCACTTAGTTCATAGTTCATAGACTTTTTTTATCAGATAACAAACTGATTCAGATCAAATATTTATATATAAAAATGGCAGAATATATCACTCTAGGCCTTACTTTTAGTTTGGAATGTCAACAATGACAGCTTCGAATTTATAACGGGGACGAGAGAAACAACACAAACGGGGTATTTTCTTATTGATAAAAAAAAACGGAAAACAGAGTGACTCAACCCGGAACCATATTCAATACTACAGCTTTTCTTTTATTTCAAGTTATTTCATTTTATTTTCCTATTTCTATTCTTTTTTTCAGCAAAACGATCATCAAATTGCTGCTATCTATAAAAAACAAAGATGTAAAAGAGAACCTTTCTCGTACTACATGGATCCTAATGGTTTCCAAAAATAGTCTTTTTGATCGCTAATACGTGAATTATGTCTGTTTTTAAAAAAAATTCATTTTCCAACAAAACCAATGCCAAAATCGATTGCTGAAACTTCATTTTCCTGACAGCAAAATCAAAATATCCGGTACTGGGGAAAGAAAAACACATCAACTACACACGTACACAAATTTTTAATAAATCGTTCAATTCCCGTCCCTTGAAGCTTGTGAAGGAGTCTGATGCTTTAACGCGCTGAAAATGAAAAGCATACGGTGTTTGTGCGATCCCAAAAATCTTCATATTAGACAGGTGTACCAACAAGTTACGTTAAAAGACAATCGATCACGTGATCACGCATCTGATGTTGGCATATAAGCTCCCGCGTTCGCTTATTAAGGCATTATGTTGCTCATGTCCTGAACGACAAATGGGCGCCTATTTCTGAACAAATAATTTTCTTTTTACGGCGGGCTACCCATTCAGCGAACATTCAACATATTTTGGGGATTTGTCTAATTACACCGTTGGAAGCAGGCCGATCATTTATGGAAAATCATTACTGTTTCCATCTGTGTGGCGCGCTTAGCGAAACAGAAATTAGCGGTCAAGAAGTCACCTTTGAATCAAATCTTTCCTATACCGTGATCACAATCAACGGCTAAAACTACATAGCCATAAAAAATATAAAACAGCCCGAAATTAAACCAAAAGGAAAATGGAGGCCGTTCTGATTTCGGGCGCCCAAGGATTAAACAGCGAAGGACTTGAAGGAGTGGACAGTGGCCGGCGATATCGCCATCACTCGGTCGACGGGCGCCCAAATCCGCCTTCAACATCGCGAGGAAGATTTTCTCCAGAAGGACGTCCATCCCTGCGCGGGCGATTTAACAGCGACCTCGGTACAGGCGCCTTCGAACAAGCCGCGAAATATTTACGTCCGGATAAAATATCCGTCTATCCTCTTTTCGGAGGATCGACGAAAAGAGGAGGAGTTAGAGTTAAAATTAACGTGAGTGGAATGATTTTTGAAACCCTCGAGTCAACGCTTTCCCGCTTTCCAGATTCGCTATTGGGGTCACCGATGAAGCGCGAAAAATATTACGACTCAAAGAAGAGAGAATTTTTCTTCGACAGAAATCGAGTTGCATTTGATGCTATTTTGTATTTCTATCAATCACGCGGAAAACTATTGAGACCCGTCGAGATTGACCGCAAAACTTTTTGCGAGGAAATTCAGTTTTTCGAATTGGGAGAAGACGTTATCGAACGTTTCAAAGAAATGGAAATGAACGTGGTAGACCAAGACATTGGTCCTCTACCGGAAAACCCGATTCAAAGGAAGATATGGCAAGTAATGGAGCTACCACATTCATCTCTTCCAGCCCAGATTGTCGCCATTTGGTCAGTAGTTGTGATTTTAGTGTCAATAGTTATATTTTGCATCGAAACACTGCCTCAATTTAGGGAAAGTCGTAACGATAAGAACTCGGCGCTGTATGGCTTGGAAATTTTCTGCGTTGCTTGGTTTACCTTTGAGTATGTTGTTCGCTTGCTCGCGGCACCTCAAAAACTGCGTTTTTTACGCTCGTTTCTGAACATCATTGACCTAGTTGCTATTTTACCCTATTACATTATACTCGGTTTATCTGTGAGTGGTGGCGATGAATCCGGTAATACTTCGTACGTAGCCTTTTTCCGCATACTTCGACTAGTGCGAGTTTTCAGAATCTTCAAATTATCCAGACACTATCGCGGTTTGAAGATCCTTGGCATGACGCTGAGAGCGAGTCTCCGAGAGCTTCTTTTGTTGTCCTTCTTCCTACTCATGGGTGTTATAATATTTTCCAGTGGAGTTTACTACGCGGAGAGTGCTAATTTTGGAAGCATCCCCGAAGCATTTTGGTGGTCTGTAGTTACTATGACAACGGTAAGTTTCTGTTCATTTACATTTGTCAATTGCATTTCCTCATATAATTGGAGGATAAGATAGGTCTTTGAAGGCCAGCATTAATGAAATTTCAAAACACTCATAAATGACACCCAATCATGACAACACTTACAATCATCAAGTGTTTTTGTTTTTTTCTTTCCTCTTTTTTTATTCTGGTTCATAATCTTTAAATTATCGAAGAAACATGAATCAGTCACAGTTTCAAATTGAAAGAGCTTAGTACAAATCTAATCTGTTCGTTTCATGAAAAAACACGATATTTGCATATTCACACTCAAGTTTGCATGTAAATCTCAAAGTCTGATATAAATTGCAAAGGAAATACCGAAAAACATGAAGTTTACCCACGATTCCTTACAAAAAAGAAAATATCTGCCCGAGAACAAAATACTTCACAAAAAATTGTCATTCATTATTAATGCTGAGCATAACTACCATTTTATTGATTGGTTTTTGTATTGCTCATTAAACATCTCTAATATCAGTTTGACGACATTTGGTATTTCATTCGCAGAGGTGACGAGAATGTTTATTACATTTTCCAGCTAGTGAAGCGCGTAAAAGAAATTCTAATCATATTTATTATATTTTAGTCTGTACATGACCAGATGGCGAGCGAAAATAAACAACTCCGCGGGATGACATTGAAAATTTTGAAAAAAATCAAGAGTCGGCTTTGACCAAATTATTTTTACAGAGCACATCGAGATAAAATTCTAAACTTCTCGTAAAAGAAAATTTTCAAATAATCAGACTTGCTGTGATTGCTATCACTTCGATATTTAAAGAACCGTACAATCTCGGAAAAGAAGTTGATTGGCGATAATTTTCAGTCGTTGCTCTGAATGCACTCGACTTTCTCTTTCGCTATACCGAGCGAAAAAGGCTGAAATGAAAAATTTTTATTCAAGATGGTGCTAATAAAAGCAACATTAATTATTTAAAGGCGGTAGTGTTGCAGAAAATTTCATTCGCGATGCACGGAAGCGTATTCATTTGTGAAAACCAAGCTCGAGGTCATAAAAAATTAGAGATAGATCTGACTTTGTATGAGCAAGCGTATAATCTGCAGCGAGAAGGAAGAATTATCGATCGCCTTACCGTTTCAAAAGCGACCGGAAGATTAAAATATTGTTATTGTATGCTCTTTAGGTTGGATATGGAGATAAAACCCCCACTACCGCATGGGGAAAGGTGATTGGCTCCATGTGCGCAGTCGCAGGAGTACTCACACTAGCTCTGCCTGTTCCAGTGATTGTATCAAACTTCAGTTATTTCTACAATCTGGATAAAGAGAAGAGAGCGGAGACTAGCGACTATGAATCTGTTCCTAACACTTCTCAAGAGCGAATGTCTGAATCGCCGTAGGATAGGATCGCCTGGTGTGTTTTCTGCGGATTCACCTGAATTTATTCCCGTCGAATTTGAAAGAACAGCGGTGTCAACATGCGTAATAAACGAAGGGTTGACATGAACAAACTTGACAATCGACTCCGCAAATATTTTTTTCCTCGAAGAATCATCCGCTGATCTTTCATCTCACGATTTTTAAAAGAGTTAAAGCCTTGTACACGTTTGGGTTTCACATGGTGAAGCGCTGGCCATGGTGCAAGCGTACCTTTTAATTTGAGACTCCAAATTGTCTTTGTGGTTTTTTCGATAACGTATGTTAATTGTAGTGAGGCAAAGTAAATCCACTTTTCACGAAATAACCAGAAAAGAAGCTTGATGGGAGCGTCACCAGTAGTTCCTTCCTTTCCTGTATTTTATCTGATATCAAGGCTTCTTTTCCGTACAGAGCTGGCAAACAAAGCGAAGATAATCGGTTTATACCACTGGGATATTCCACGATACCTATCAGTTTTGAAATGTTTTCCATGATTTTCCGAGAGATAGCGAACCGCTCTTCATTGAGCAAATGCAGTCACTAAACCATGTCTTTTCATTTATTCAAATCATGTATAAATTTCTCTGATCACGGAAGACTTTGAATGTACTAAAGAAAAAAAAAATTGACTTTTCAAAACAGTAAAGCAAAACAGTATCAATACAACCAATTTCAAATCTCTTGCAAAACTGAGATGTGTAAATTACCATTATCGTTTTAATTTTTCCGGATATGTTGCGCATGAAATAGATAAATTTTGTGCAGTTTCTATAAGTAGAAACAAATTGGTGAAATCGACGAAATCGAACGACTTTCAATCGTTCGATTTCGACCAAGCGAGGTAAACAGTGCGGTATCCAGTCTTAATCTATTTTCTTGAACAGGTGTCGATTTAGTCCCACAGATTGTATCTCATTGGATGGATGATCAGTTCACTTTTTTTCATTCACCATTATTATCTTTTTTTTTCTTTGAGTGAAACACATTGACTTAAGTAAATATTCATAGACAGGGCGAGCTCGGAGCTTTTGATCGAACGTTCTCTAAAATGAATAATTAAAAGTCATTTGCCGAGCTTTTAAAAATTTCTCAATTATAGAAACTGAATGTTTTCCACTTATTTCACTTAATTTCATTTTATACTTATTTTCTAACGCGAGCCAAAATGTCCTAATTTGTGAATGTAAGCGAATAATTGAGTAGCGTTTTTCGCAATTCTTAAGTGTGAAACTGACAAGCTCGGCTTGAAGCAAAGTCAATTAGTTCTTAATATTATGTAGCATTTTACACCACATGTAAATCAAACGCAAAAGTTTTATTTATTTTTTAAACCAGTTTTAGCCTACTGGGTGCTGGTAAACACAGGAGCTTTGAGGAAATCTCCTGGTCAGCTCTGATACTTCATGAATAAGAAATAAGTGCTTAAGCTTGTGATGGTATTTTGACTAGAAACGAAATATTGTAGAATATTGTAGATCTCGAGAGCGCTTGAGGGTTCTGAAGATAGCAATACAGAAATCCGGCGACAACAGCTGGGACTCTATTAGTCCTATTACAAAGCTCAACGGTCTTTTAAATACATTTATACATTCTCAGCAGTTTTCAAGAAATATTAATCGCACCACTTATCAATTTTGTTGTAAATTGAGTACATATGTCTAAAATGTTACAATTAACGTGTGAAGTGCGAACGGCTTTCCTTAACTTAAATCACCAATTTTATATGAGGCACTAACAAAATTTAAAATTGACAGTCCCCTGAGGACTATGGATTTCGTGCGAATCCTACACAGCGCATTTCTAGTTACGCCGGGCGCGTTTCTTCATGAGCTACACCAACGGCCAAATTGATGCGTTTTTTATCATTCCTCATGGCCGTGTTGCAATTACAACTGAGATCAAATCCGTCGCATTTCGATTTTGAAAAACCAATGAAGAATATACGTGGTAAATTCATACCTCAATCAGCAACATTCAGAAGGAAAGTTGAATTTGATGCGTTGAGAATAAAGATTTATGCTAATGTTCATTCGTTAGCTTTTATATCTGCAATTAGCCTCTTTACGTGTGTACAAGTATTTTCGCTGATACTCATTCTGAGAATTTTCCATTAAAATACAGTTCAAAATCTACCTTGTAGATTTAGCACAAAATATTTTCACTGTACAAAAAGAGGATGATTAAATAAATGATCTTATGTATATCCTTCTTGCTGTTGTAAGTTAACAGAATCAGTTCGCAATCCAGTTTAGTCCTAGGGGATTTATAATTTTTCCGCTGGCAAGTTTCGGGTACCCGAAAGTCAGGGTGTCCCGGAGCTGTAAAAACAAGGGCGTCCCAACTTACCTGCTGTTTCCCCGCTCTATGCCTCAAAGAACACACAAAAACTACTAGCTATACAGGCTTCATAAAGTTCAACCAAACGTCTTTTTTTTGCAAAAGAGAGGAGAAGCTTTAGGGGTAAGGAGTAGACTCAGAGACTCACAATCCTAACGCTTGTCTTTTATTCCTTTCCCTGGTCTCATCCGAATTCACTAATCGAACGACAACCAGCTATTTCAACCCAACAGAAGTAGTAAAGGGGTGACAGTTTAGTGGAGGGTCAATCAGGTTGTAGAATTTTCACATTCCATTCTGTCCGCCATTGCTGAAACCGAGTGGAGATGTGGTTACGAGTCAAATGTCACGTGACATGATAAGTTGACAATAACAGCACTTTTGTTTCGTGACAATAAGACTTGACAATGGTAATGGGATGTAAAAATTCTGAAATCTGATTGATAATTCCATAATACTGCATTCTGATAGGCTATCCACTATACTGCCACCCTTTACTAAAAGAAGTCAGTCTAAATCTTTTAAATTCCATACAGGACTCGCACGTAACCTCCCCTTACAATACCAATACATAGGCATTTCACTGAAAAGCACATGGTAAGAATAGGAACTGATAGACAAGATTATCAGCAGTCTCATCCCAAGGTCTTTGTTCGTCTCACCCACTTAGGGTAGATTGTCTAGATGGCTGGATATAACATCAAATTCTCCCAAATGAATTGCAAAGAGACGTACAGCAACTGGAAGCTTGGCTAGAAGAGAGAATTATTTATGATGTAGCTGACTCAAAGGGCGGGCCAGACGGGACACATCATTTGCCCCGACCGGCTGCCGGAACGGGCAGGATTGGCTCGGGATTTCCCTCTTTGATCCCGCTTAAATTAGAGAGTCGAAGTACAAGTAAACTGAAATAATCCTGGTAAGAGCTGCAGTTAACCCTCTACACTCTAACATCAGTATGCATTTCCCCCATACTGTTCGACATGTATTTGTTAAATGCTGACAAGGAGAATTTGTTTGACAAGGAACTGCCGGATCATTTCCTTTTTCCTCGTGACCTTCATGTTTGATTCAGGGGTGATATTGTAAGGATATATTAGATGCTTGTTTACGTTAGGAGTTAGAGAATTGAAGAAATTACATAAAAGAAGCCTGAAAAAAATTCTGGCTTCGACGGAATGCGATTCCGCACCTCTCCACGGGGACGGTGGAATTAAATATATACGACAATTTCGTGACCCCTTTTTAATAGTTATTTGCGAAACACAGACATTCTGCCTGCAGTGCAAATCTACCACAAACTTATCAGGCTCAGCAACAAAAGCGCTAGGAGACAAAACTTATCAATTCATCAAAACAAGGGAAGACGTGAAGTAACAATCTGTTTTCATCAAATATTTATACACCGTTTAGTATATCTTAAAAATATTTATCATCACTTTTTTGCTTCTGCACTAAAATTTGAATAATTTTTTTGAGTTTCCAAATTTTTGATCATTCTCAGAGATGCATTTAAGACTATAAGATGAACACAACATTATAAAACGCCCGAATTTTTTCATCCTGACAGGGCAAACAGAGGTTCCATAATGCAGGTATCATTTTCGAAGAGCGTAAAAATATATACTTTTGGAGGATATTTTTATCTTCTCGTATACATGTAGTTTCATTTAGATAATGCTGTATTCACTGATTTCATCTCATTTGATAAATGTTAAATTTCTAGAGGACCTAGGATCTTTTCCTTCAGTTTGCAACATCTGTTACCCACAATTTAGCTGTATTCATGCGTGAAGCTCGAGTTCAGTACAACTCTCCTGACACAAGAAGTAGAAAAAAAACAGGTAAACACAAGAAGTAGGGAAAAAAAACAATAACAGGTAAAATTTTCGCAGAACTGGATTTCAGTTACAGAGCGAGGTGTCTCTCTTAACTTATTCCATTGTGCGAGTTACAGAAATCAGCTTTAGGAAACACTCGTACCGAGGGGCGAGATCTTTCCCACGCACTTCCCCCGCAATGTTATTAATGAACCAAGCAGGTTCAAGAAAGTTACTCCTTGTCAAGACTCAAATCCAATATATAATTTCTTAAATACGTCAGCTTTAAGTGAAACACCCAAGCAAGCCTTATCGAAAGGTTAACGGATATATTTAAAGGCTTTAGACCACCCAGAGACCAGCATCATCGCAGGAGAATGAAGATGAGTCATAGCTGATTTCTGTTTCAAGTTTATCATTTGAAATCCGTACTAGTCTTCCTCCATCCTCAAACACCCATTTCCCCATGACTTATTTTTATCTTTCTCGTGTTTTTTTAACGTAACAAACTATCATTTATTGCTCTATTTTAAATGGACAGTAGTCATCTCCCTCTCCGAAAAAACAAAAAAAACAAGTCAAAATGATGCTGTGTATTTGCCTCCACCTTTTTACACCCAATATCTTAATATCAGTTCTTAACAATGACTACTGATTCTTTATCAAAATGATACTTCTGAGAATTTGATGTTACATCACTCAATATCTACTCATCACTGATCTGCCAGAAATTCTTTGATATTTTGCGAAGAATTTCCCTTTTAGCCACTCGTGGAAGAGAAGAGTCAGCGCTTTAGTTAAATAATTATATATTGCTTCAACATTTCTTCCCTCCACATTGTTCTTTTCCTTAAATTTTTACCTCCATTTTAGGAGACATCTCTGAGATTTTTACGAGACGATGTTGGAGGAATCGTAACACATTAACTTATTACACGGAATCGCGTGCCAACGAGGAGTTTAAAAATGACGTCATTTCCTGTGTTCACTTGACTTCCTCTCCCATCAAGCAGTGGATTTGACCTCATAGGAAAAACAAATAGACCCACTTTTACCGGAAATCTAATCATACAGTTGTTTGAAGAGTAAAAGTTTTCCGAGACGCTGGCGAATCGACTGCAAGTGACTGTTTCTGCATTGTGCGCGCTGTTCGACTCAGTTCATTTGAACGATTCTTTTGCTCGTGATAAAAGCTGCGGTGTGGAAAAAACAAATTGCGAAGTCCCTTTCTGAAAACCTTGTCCCTTATGGCATAAACATAGAAGTTCATACAGCTGTTAGAAACGGCGAGGTATAATCCAATGCGAACCAATCGCGGAGGGAGGTCAGATAACACCGCAAAAAGTTTCCAAACTGACACAAGAGTGTACACAGACCAGCAGAGACAAAACATTCCAATTATTACGAGGACAGTTTTTGTTGCTTTGTTTCTTCTCATGGATTGTTCTTTAGTCAAACCAGGAATCTGCATATTCTGCAATTGCTTCCGCGCAGCTTTGTAGATCATTGAATATGCAAGGATCATAATTAGAACGGGGACAAGAAAACAAACCAACCCCAAAGAAAGAGCGTACGATTTGTCCCCAAGTCCTTCTCCATTCCAATTTGGCTTGCAAGTGGCAGTACTTCCCTCATATACCAATTGACCCCAACCGAATATGGGCGCGATCGCCCAGAAAATAGAATGAAACCAAACCAACGCAATGGTGATAAATGTCCTGCGAGGAGTGACGATTTCTGTGTAACGCAAAGGTCTTGTGATAAAAAAATATCTGTCAACTGAAATTGCGCACAGATTCATCAACGACGCATTCAAAGAAGCGGTTACAATAACCGAGTGTGCGCGGCATAAAAGATTTCCAAACACCCAAGACTGTTTGATTACACTTGCCATCAATAGAGGGCAATAGATCATTCCGACGAGCAAATCCGCAACGCTCAGATTGCAAAGAAAGAAATAATTCGGTTCGTGAAGTTTCGATGTGCGCCATACAACAATTAAGGCGAGAAAATTGCCAATGATAATTCCAATGTTAACGACGCAAAGAAATGCGGCGCTGATTGCAACTTCAGTGGCAGGAACAAGTGAATCTTGTGAGTCGTTGACCATGATGGCAGCAAAAGCGGTGATGTTCCGTCCGTCACTTGATTCAACTGAGGGCTATGTAAAGTATTTCGGCGCGGTTGATACGTGACGAGTGACAATCACAGTTTATCGCCGCACATTCGATACACACTAGTGCTCCCCGAAGCGTATCCCAACCGGCCGGATAAAACACGTTATGACGACCATCCGGCTGGCTATTGTCACGTCGTTAATACGTTTATATTTTATAAATAAATAATGGACGCAACACCCGTCACTTCTACGTGTGATGCTCTCAACTTCAATCAAATAGAAGCGAGTAAAAACACAATAGTCCTCAAAACGAACAATAAAAGCGCAAAATAATAACTCTCTGACAAAGTATGGACGATTTTTGTTCAAAATATCCTCGCCGTGTTTTTGAACAATTATGTTAAAAGACACGAATAGCTTTAATGTCAATCTTCTCCGAGCCACAATGGCATATTCCGTGTAACCGTCCCAAAAGAATTTATCGTCACTACTAAATACAACTATCTTTTCTGGGAAAACAAAAGTGAAAACCACATCAGAATTTTCAACAAAACCAACGTAATGCAAAATTACTTACTCGAAGCAACGAGGGAAAAATTATTTAATCAAATTTTGATGGTATCTTTCATCCTTTCGATTACAAATTTTTTGAAGAGAAATTCTTAATAATGGCCCAGAAAGGGTGTTTAATAAAGCATCTGGCACAAACTCTAGAGAACATGCAAAGAAATATTTACAATTCCCGTTTCGCTGAAGTATAAAACAAATAAAATCGAAGTGCACGAAGTCAACAGAATGAATGAATATTTAATTGTTTTTGACAAAAATTATGCTAAATAAATGAGTGACCTTGCATTTGATGAAGCGACGGAACACGGACAAGCCACCAAGTAGATAGTAGTTCATTATGAACAACTTTTCGACAAGACGCATTTTTTAAACTTCTACAACAGATGACAAATAGTTGATAGACTTTCAGTTTTTATCACGCGACAGTTACATTTAAATAGTTGTTCTGGAATAGAAATGTAGCTATACCGAGGAAGCTTCAAATGAAAACGCATAGTACCAAGGTGTGTCATTAACAACTTTGAATGCAATGTTCTTTGCCAGCTTCACAAACAAATGACCTAGCTTCTTAAAATTTTCCCAATCATAATTTTCATAACTGCCATTTCACAATGGACACCTTAACAAAGCATTCACTCATTACAATAGAAACACTAACGAAGATTTTCTGAGACTATCAAACACATATCAACAAACTCCCTCTCTCATGGCGACCTCTATTTTTGGATGCAGTTTTTTAAACGAGGTATTTTGTGTGCTTAACTGACGGGTCCAGCTTAATTTTATTTCGCCAATATAACACCGAAACATTTCAAAAGTTCAATCACGCTAACGCTGTAAAAGCACCATAAGCTTTTGGCAACATGCTGGTCAAATTGTATAAGTACACCATCTTTGTTTTCCCACATAAAAGCACCCAGTACAATTAAAAGTATTGAGTGAAGTATCGAGGACCTTCACACGATAATCACAGGAAATGAACGTTACGCATGGGACGCCCTGACAAAAAATCAGAAACTCGCTTGATTGCGGAAAGAGAATAATTTAAAGGAAAAATTGTTGATCTCCTTTTCCTGTCTTCAGACACCTTTCGTGACTTCTAATTTCACACGCATCAAACTGTAATTCGAATCTAACGATTTCCCAAATAAATTACCATTTCTGTCCTTTTAGCGCGAACCACCCGCAAGTTAGCTTCATTAACATGTCAACTTTAAAACAACTTGCACATTTAATTCAAACATATATCTGATAACTCTGTGTTGAAAGTGCTAAAGTGCGCGTGAGATCTAAAACGTGACTTCTACAAGCGTTTCACCAGAGTGAGTAACGCCGTACGTGATGCATTGGAAATGTTTACATTGAACTCACTTGATGTTTTTTTCTTATCTAGAAATTTACTGATATTAGCTCTAGTGTCGTCAAGTTATGCTCTGATGCAATCTGACATAACAACCTAAAAGTTTCAGTCATTTCCGAGTCGATTCCTCCAAGAAAACAAATTGATTTAGTTTACAAGGTCAAGGTTTTTCTGATAAAAAAGAGCGGAAAATCGACTTGAAATGGAAATGTTCGTGTTCTAAGTACCATTAGGCAATATTAAAAGCGTCAAAGACGATAAAAGCAGCTTTAAAAATAACATTTCCTTTTAATCAAACATCGGTTATCAGAGAAATTGGAAATATCGTGATGGCGACGAGATACTGGTCTCACGAAATTAAAATTGAGTTACTTTCCACCTTAAGAAGGAAAATTGCAAGCCTTGCGAACAATTCCGGTCACTAAGAGCGTTCTCTTAAACGAAAAGAAAAAATAGTGGCCAAAAGAAGCGTAAACCAAAAGACAATAACTGAAACAAGCATTTCATTACTTCAGATGTTCTGTTTATGATACGGTAGCGGGTTTTATTGCAGCAATAACGATTCAAACAGAAACGTTTTGCTGCAAAGGGTTCTACTTAATATCGATGATACTGCTTAAATACCTTCTCTGCTCAATTGTACATACCATTCTTCTGAAACAATTTGACAGTTATCGACTTCAAATGCGTAAAATAAAAAAAATTACATAGTAGGCCCTAACACTCATCATTTAAAAAAGAAATATCGACTCTCAGGTCTTTTATTGACAGGAAAGGTACAAACAGAAAACACACAACTATTTTCAACGGTTTAGAGTCCAATGACGTAAGATCTTCCTCCGGGATTATGAAGGGGAACTGGGGCGGGACGTGATATACACCACTCGTACCAGACCTTTTTCGGTGTGCATTTTCTCCAGAAGTGGCAGGCTACTGTTGAGCCCGCAGTAACATACTGCGGTTCCTTCAAAACAACCAGAAACAAATTGGTGTCAGGAACTTAAGCGTTACCCGTGGCTAGTTCAAGATAATCAATGTTTCCTTACCTTTATGGGAAAGAAAAATGGAAACCAGCTGAACATGCCTTCCGAATGAGTGTCTGGTTTGATACCTAGAACAGAGAAAGCATATAGAGAGTTAACGGTAAAAATGAGCGAGGTGAAACAACACATATCGCAGTGAAAACTTTATCTTTTTAACCGAAAAGGTAAACAAACGGCAGCCACTGGCAAGGACAGCTGACAGTTGGATTAAGAGAAAGCAAAGGCTTGCTCTGATTGGCGAGAACGGCTGCGCGTGTTGCATAGAAATGATAGAGCTCGCACCGAGCAAAAGGTAACTTCATGCACAAAAATCTCTTTTTAAAGCCATATTAAGGTAAACGTTATTGTTCACACTGGACTTACTTAACATAATGTCCCCATAGAGTACTGTTTCAAAGTATCCAGCGAAGCCGTGCATTGTAAAACTCGTCTTCACATCAAATTCGAGTGATTTCACTCGAGAATTGTCGATTCTGCTAGCTGAAATCGAAAAGACAAAGTTCTTACCAGTTCACCAGAAGTCCGCAAACTGATCGTGTATTTAACTAGCTTTGAATTTCGTTCACTCACCTCTGTTTGGATGTGCGAAAACAAAGCACTGCTGCGGTGGTGACATAGCGGTGATATTATGAAGTCTTACAACGTACGGAGTCTCAAACGGGGCCTGTGGCAAAAAAGACCGCGAAACTTTAGCAAGCGGTCGTGGCGAATATATCTAGCTTTTAAATGGGGGAGAGGGGTATAAAGATACGTAAAACAAGTGCGAATTATAACACAAATATTTTCCAGATGTTACTAGAGGACATCAGCAACACGAATCCTCTTGTGGCAAGCACAATAAGTTTGTGATAAAATTGAAAAAGAGAATCCTTCCGATTTGACCTGTGATGTGAATCAAACCGTGAACGGATTCGAAAACACTATGATTAGAATACATACAAACATCTCACAGCTGACACTACAAAATCCGTACACCAAAGGATCAAGTAGGTGTTTGTTACTCAACCGAAATCATTGGAGAATAGTCACTAGTCTAATTCCATGATACATCAACCCTGTACACCCTAACATCAGTATACATATTCTCCATACTATTTTCTGTATATTTCCTATGGTGCTGACAAGGAGAATTTGTTTACAGTCTAGAACTTCTTTAGTTGATGATCATTCCTTTATTCTCGTGACCTCAATGTGTGACTCAGAATGATAATCTAAGGAGAAACAAGGGTAACTATAAACCTGCAAGGAGCAGTGAAGATTTTCAAGTTGTACTTACTTTCAAAAATAATTACTAATCATTACCGATATATATGAACGAACAGACTAAAATACTGATTGTTTACTAACCAGGGGTCCCTTGGTTGTGTCGTTTCCCTGTGACACATCGTAATGTAATTTGGGAGCAGATATTGGCGCAAGAAAAGACGTGTATTCACAGGGAATACTGATCCCATCATCTGGAAACAAAAAGAATAAGGTCAAATCATGCTAACGGTATACCTGCTAAATGCCTAAGATTTTTATCCACAAAATGTAAGCATTCTCAAAGGTTGTGTCAGCTCGAACTGTTATGGTCGGCATAACGTATGCGTGTGCTGGCGCGGAATATTGGAGTCAATCTACTAAAGTGAAAATCAGGCCAGAGCGTAAGAGTTGGCTCGTATTTAATCCCTGGGTAGATAAGAAACGTTTCCAAAATGTGGAAGTTTTGGTGACTTGAGTGATTGTTTATTGTTGTACCAGCGGTTACTTGTTTGAAAATGTGCTTGAGTGCACTTAAGTACGACCCGCCATCTTGCGTTGTGTTTGTTCCTTCTCCACGAAAACAACAGAAACGAAAAAGTTTAATCCATTTACGATGTAGCCCTATACCAGCTGACCTTTCAGGAACCTCTGTGCTCCATCTAAACACTCTGGAGAAAGCTCATTGTCACCAAAAGATCCCAGCAACTCGCTCACAAGTATATCGGCCTACGGAAAAAAAATAGATAAATAAATAAATATATAAATAAACAAGTATAGGTTCAACAAGACCTTTGTTTATGAATGGAGTAGCGGACAATGATAGTGTTTCCTTCCTCGGTCCAAATTCGTAATTCTTTTCGTCCATTAGAGGCAAAATTCACACAATTGACCTCTAGCTCAACTTTTTCACTTTACAAAGGTTACGAGGAAGTTTGTAACATTTTACTAAATGCCGGAAGTTAGTAGCTGGTAGCTAATGGGGTTCTAAGCGCGCCAAAGGCAGCTCTTATCTCTCAAAACACACTTTCTTGATGGCTATTTATTCTGCCGCAATTCTTTTATTAGAAAAACTTTACAACCTACTTACTAAAATGGCGCGCAATTTTCAAACCTGTTCGGGAGAATCCCATTCGCGCATGTCCGATGAGACTACAGTGACGTCACCATTCCATTCCTCTTCTTTCAATGTCTCCAATCTGGAAGGAATTATTAAGGCTTAGGTGACGATTACAAAAGTTCTGTCAGTTCAAGGGCAAAAAATATGTACAGTATTGTAGTACGTACGTGACAACAGCGTTTGGGTTCTTCTCCACTGCATATATTCTGACTTTCCGTCCTGATTCCTCAGCTGCTGTCAGTGACGCTCTCACTAAGGGACCACGCCCTGCACCCACCACCATTATCACTCTGAAAAGGAAACAGACTTTTCTGAACTTTCCTCTTCGTTCAATTCGAATATCTTTAATTCATCTTATACCGGGGTGAGAACAGAACCCAAGACTAGTTTTCTTTCTTCAACAAGCAACAACAGCAGCAGGAATATTTTTGTCACAAAAGTGATTTTACACCGAGTAGACAACATGAAAAGCAATTCTCGACTGCCTGTTTCAAAAAAACAACTACTGTAAATACAACAGCCAAACAGAACAGGGTTAATAACACAACAAAACGATGAGAACTTCATGTATTTCATGTCAACCCGAAGAAAAAGCGAATGACCAAGTTGCGAGTGATAAAACAAGCTAACTTGGTGTCATCAACTCAGTTGATGATGTAAATTAGCCACTATCAAGAGTTTCTAAAGCTGACGTTTAGTGCGTTAGCCCTTCATCTTTTGCTCTGACGAAGGATTAACGCTCGAAACGTCAGCTTAAAGATATTCTTTACGGTGTTCAGTTACATCATCAACTCAATTGATAAAACCAGATTATCTTGCTATACCCCTCTTCGACGCAGCACCATAGTTCGTCGAAAAATAATTCAGAATGATTCTTGGCACACACTAGATTTCGCAGGAAAACAGGCAGTGACTGACGAGTACGATACTCACGTTACATCAGAATCTTTCTTGTCTTCTGGAACTCTATCCAGTAACGCCTGGTGCACCGCCTAGAAAAAAAAACCAAAAAAGAAAAGTATACATGAACAGGAGAGATGAATCTTTACCACTTAAACCAAACATCCCAAAAAAAAAGAAAAGAAAGACAAGGAAGTAAAACAAATGCTGTAGAGGCCTGCACAGCTGACGGTTTATTCAGTGTGTGCCTCGACGCTTACAGCGGCAGAGCCGCGAAAATGGGCGGCACAGGTGCGATGGAGTCTGAACGAAAAATTGAGGATATCACTTGAAGCTCCTCTGTTCGTATTCAAGGCTTCGCCGGCTAAAATTCTCACCAACCACCAGTAAAACAGGCTACTGTTGTAGTTTTATTTCGTCGCCACTACCAAGATATATTGGCTTTCTTTATAAATAAATAAAAGCAAATACAATAAATAATCACGAAAACCTTACCTTTTGGTACTGTCTGTATTTAATGGGATCTCTTTCAAATATTTCATAGGTTTGAGACTCAAGATTGTCCATCAACGGCTGGAAAAAATCATAATCATAATCATAATCATATATTCATCATTACAAAATACATAAATCAATCTTAAGGCAGCTTAAGCACCCTGGCACCATTTCAGGCATGCTACCAAAAATTAAATAACAACAAAGAGTAAAATCAAGCCCAGTTTTGAGATCAGATGGTGAAGAAAAAGAAATAGTTTAAACATGAGGGGCACAGAAAATGTTTGATTTTCTTGTAAAGAAAATGAAGTCAATGGTCGATGCTACAAACTCATGCGCTGCCAAAACAAACACACATGTACGGACACACAAAGATTTAAGAGAGTGAGGATCATTAATAATAATAATAATAATAATAATAATAATAATAATGCTAATAATAGTAATAATGATAATAACAATAATAACAAACAGTTTTTATGATGCATTTAACAAGTCTTGATGCATGAACAAATTTAGAAATAATCAACTCAATTTGGAAATAAACATAGTAAATAAACATAAACACAGTGTTTAAGAACCCAACAGTGGCAGGAGGCAAACCAGCTGGCTACAAACAGAGAGCAGCCAAGGAGTTGAACCCAGGGCAACCAAAAACATGTCCAGCGAATAGCAGGTCAGAAAGCTTAAACCCAGGACCCCAGCAGATTAACAGAACAGTTTCCTGACTGCTTGACCACCCTGCCTCCACAAAAAACTGTCCAAGAAATGTAACCAACCTGTAGGGGACATTGAAGGTAGTCCTCATACCCCTTGGCAAACTGACTCAAGTTGTCCAACTCTGGCTGTGTCTGTGAATGATACAACAATTCTCAGTGAACCTACAGACAATAAATAATAGCAGAGCTCACAGAGTTTAGCCCCATAATTATAAAAAATAGTGGTAACCCATCAAGCTGAAAAAATTTGGATGTACAACCGTATGACTGTACAACCATACAAGGTGCTACTTTTAGCATGCGCAGCCAACTGCATCACAGGCACTATCTTATAATCAGTCACCTATGCGGACACAGAGAAGTTGCAAATGAAAATCCATTAATATTACCACACACTTTATCCATAGTAGGGGCTTTAGTTTTGTTGAAGAGACGTGCGGAAAAAAAAATGTGAGCTCCACTTTTAGGCTTACCTAAATCTATATATTAGAGTTCCATAACAAAGAGGGGATTGTTTCATCTTTAAATGTGTTTAATAGATCATAGTTTGATAAACCAGAGAGTTTTGCTTATTCCTCTCTGGGAGGACGAACAAGAAACAAGGACAAAAATGAAGGTATTGCCCATAGCTGGTGCTTAACACTATCTGTTACTATCTGTTAAAGCTCTAAACACCACAGAATTTTTAACCAAAATCTATAACTTGAGAAAGAAAGGCAGTAAGAGACAAGCATTGAGCACAATCTTGATGGTGACATCTGCTTGGATTATCAAAACATCAATCACAATTACTAAAAACACAACAACCCCTTTCTCCACCGAATGATCAGACTGTAACAAATATAAATGTTTTTATTTTTTGCTTGAAAATGAAGGGCCACAATACATTCCCCCTCCCAACCATCCCTAAAATTACCCCAAACATTCACAAATACAGTATGACATTTTAACTACAACCAAACACTGACCTGATAAAGGTGGGCAAGGTACTGGTAATAAAATCCTAATCCCTAAAAAAAATATTATAATACAGTATGCACATGTATTAAATTATCATCATAACTTAAAAAAAGCAAATGGAAGGTAGAAATGTGGCTTACTGGACTGCATAGAAAATGACACATTTTGCTTTAAAATCATGTAAAAATCTTCCCTTGAATTCCATCATCTAACCTTTGTTGACTAATTTTAGGTTAAATGACTATGTAATTGGCGTTAATCATGCAAATAGACAGGTGCTAATATCAATTTTTGTTTTTGCTGATTTTTTTCTAGACTTGTACAACAGACTTTCCCTTAAAAGGAGGAAATGCTCATAGCCCAGCACTGCAAAGAATGTTTCACACACCACAAAATAAACTATTTAACACTTTAGCCTCCACAAGACAGGGATTTAGAGGCAATGCATTCTAAATTAGCCTGTGAAAAACTTTGAAACAAATCATAAAATATAGTCACAATACACACTGTTCATCAAATACATTGTAGCTAGAGATTAACAGATGTTCCATTATTTGTCACACAATGTGGAGCCATTACTGATTTGATGGTCAGTCCTAACATTTTCATTGCTGGACTACAAGTTTTTTACCTTGTCCTTATGCTTGTTTACACCAGTCAAAATCAGTTGAGTATTTAGCTATGAAGTAAAAAGATATGCACATCCACTGTAAGTGGGCTAAGTGAATTGAAAAAAAGAATATAAAAATATTAAGGGCACAATAAAATTATGAAATTAAAAAAAGTTACCCTAAACAATCTCCTAACAAATGCTTGGTGGGCTCTAGGCAACACAGGGTAACCTAAAATTTCCAAAAATGATACATGTTAACACAAAGGTATAAAAGAAAGAATGAAAATTGTTCAGTGATGATGAAAAATGGTAAACTTTGAGCTCAGTTGTTGAATGAAGTAAGACACTGTTCATTTGTCACATGCATGAGGCAAAGAAAAACCTGGAGTCTTTCCTGTGGAATTGAATCTCAGACCTTTGGATTTTGTATAAGTCTAATACTCAGTCAGTTAGGTCTGGAGAACTTTAAGGCAAGTCTGGCCAAAGCTCACAATTAGTAGATGAGTATTCTGGGTTCTGCTGTGATCAGTTAGAGAAGGGTTATCAGATTAAATAAAAAAAAAATGCTATATATTTATATCCTGTGATTAACATCTTGGCAAGGGTTTCAAAAGTTGCCTTGTAGATGAACCTAACTAGCTATTGAAGAACCTGTTTTGAATCACATACCCTTCTTATTTGTAAGAAACAAACTTGTGGGTAAGATTGCTGCTTTGACTGGTTCCCCACACCATCTTTCTAATTCCTCCTCTGAAGGCAATTCAGCAGAGATCTCCAATGCTATTTCAAAAGTAAGAAATTTATGTTTAACATAACATTGAATGGATGTGGTTTTAGTTTTGTTAATTCCCTTGCACTCCCAGGAGTGACCAAAAAATGAATTCTTTTTAAAAATATTGTTATGTCTTTTAGTAGAAGAAATGAGGAGAAAGAAAGAAAGATACCAGCTAATAATGGTGATATTGTTAACCAGAATTTGTCACCAAATTCTCCAATTATAAATCTTAAGAAATTTTTGGCAGACAATCTGAGAATCTGTATTTACTTCCTGGAAGTCAAAGCTGGAGTTAAAGTATTGTTTAATTAACTTTTAAATATGGATTCAAAGGGTTAAAATACAGGTTGATAACAAATCAGAAATGCAAGCACCATGGACTTACCCAGGCCAACTCTTTTGCTGTTCCCACAAATGGTTCTAAACAAATTCCACCTAGAGTAATAAAATCCCAAGAATTAAAAGAAAAAAAGCATGTAAATGACATATAACAGAGGCAGACTTACAGAAAGGAAAATGATTGTTTGTTGTAGTTCAATTTTTTTCAGTAAAAAAAGGAATAGAACAAAAATTAAACTAGAAATCATACCATTCCCAAGGATCTTTCTCCAACTCATTTCCTGAAACTTCTTCCTGAAAATGAGGGAACAAGATAAACATAAAACTTTTTTTTGGGCCTTTTTATTCCCACCCAAGGACTGTTACAGACAATTTTAATCTCTGCAACTAGACTTGAGACAAATGTGGAATGATGCTGCATTTTTAGGGATAGGGCAAGTTTAAAGGTACTCCACTAGAACAACCATAAACAATAAATTTAAATCAGGAAATAAGGAGGCAAGATTTAAAACCCCAACTGGTAGGAGGCTAACTAGTCTGAAGCTGAAACCACCACCACTATGACCTGGAATCAAATCACTATCCTCATGATTGTGCATCAAACTCACTCACCACTCACCAATGCAAAGCTCTTTGAAAAAAAAATAAAATGTGCATTTACCTCCTCAGCAAACAAATTTTTATCACAATCATCCTCAGGACTTTTCATAGGAACATGAACCCAGACCTAAAAAAGTGAAAAATGTCCACTCCTGTTATACATATAGATGAAATGGAAATACCAGTATAGTTAACTCTCACCCTGCAGACACCTAACTATAATGGACACCCTGCTATTGCAAACAAGAGCCAACCCCCTAGAAAAATGCATGAAGAAATGATTGAAATAAACTCCTGTTATTACAGACTCTTGCTACTTTGGAAATGCAGACTCTCTCACTTCTTTTTTCTTTCATTATGGCAAACTCTTCGTCCAAAATCCCGACTCACTTATATAAAGCTACATTACAATTAAGGAATATAAAGAAACCATTCTTTAATTGGCTGCAAAAATGAGAACTTCCTGTTTGCTGCTAGATCTTTTTGTGGTTCACGAGGCCATGACAGAAACTTAATGTTAACGTAGCTACATATTATTTCATATGTTTAGAAACAATTTTTTTTCTCTTGTACTCCACTAGCATGGAATTCTGCTATTAGAGACCCTTAATCTCCCCAAAGGGTGTCTGCAATAATGGGAGTTGACAGTATTATCATGTAATTTATCTATCAGAAGCAAAATCAGAGAAACAATTAAAGTAAAACTTTAGGTAATAAATGGACAAGGATTAAATCTTGCACCAGGTCATTCACACTTCGCTTATGGCCTGGCTCATCAAAAAGGTCTCTACAGCTCAGAGGTAAGACATCAGCTTCAACTCATCACTGGCTAGTTCTCAAGACTCAGATTTATTCTTTGCTCCATTCTAATGAAAAGTGAATAACATCTCTGTTTATTGGGCAGGATGTTCTACCAACCTGTTGGACATGTGTGTCAGTTATACTTGTGTTGATGTGCTGGGCGAGGTTAACACAGTTGTAGCTTTTCAATTGAACAAGAACAGCTGGAAGACTCAAGTGAACACAATAACACAACTCCTGATGTAGAGCCTGTGGGAGTTAAGTCAAAACTCAGTAATGTGAGAAAAAGATGGCAGACCTGGGTAAATGCTGAAGATGGTTGTAAGTGAAGTAAACCCCTTGCAGGGTTGTCCTAAGTTCTCCAACCACCCTTTGCACAAAATATATTTTTGCCAGGTTACTAGGTTGTGGCAACATGGTAATTATCGATTGAAGGCTTTGCTACTTGAGCCATCAAACCTTCAAGCTATAGAAATTATGTCAAAATATGTTAAAAACCTTAATTAGACTTAGTCAAAAGATGGGAGAAAAGCAACTTTAGATTGGGGGAGACAGCTATATATTATGGCAACTGAGCTTCACTAGGGGTGACAGAGCTTAAGGCCACGGTGCAAGGGCATGACATCTCCTGTTACTGTTATGATTAATAAGGAAAGTGGGCACTTAATTAACTATTGAAAAAGAGAAACACATTATTATTTCAAAGACAGACTCAATTTTCTTGTCAAATTATAAGGCTAGGACAAGAGTTTAAGAAAATGGGACTTGTAAGATATAAAAAAAAGCACTCATGAATAGAGAAATCAAGTTAAGTGAAACAGCATTAGAAAAGTTAACAGATACTTAACCACAAGTCACTTACTTTCTCTGAGTTTTTCCTTACAGTCTCATTCAGTGAGTCCAAGTTTAGCCAAGGTGAGATTTTACCAACAATTAGACTGTTCCAATCTGTCAAATATAACCACTACTCATATGCAAGCTGTTTTTCCCACAGAATCTATAAAAGAACTTGTTTTAAACCTTCTGAGCCCCTATAGAGTATGATCAACAACAAATCTTGCCTCACATCATCAACACATAATCACAAGTAAAGGTCATGAGATGACGGAAAGAAATAATTTTAGCCGTGACTTTGAGCAAAGGCTGCTGTTACGGTCCTAAAAGTATGCAACCCTCGATCTACATTGAGTAAGGGATTAATGCCCAGTGTTTTAGACCATGGCCATGCAATGAGACATTGGGCAAAAAAAATCGCCCCAAAACAAGAGTGCATACCGATTCTTCAGCTAAAAAAAAAATGCTGAGATACCCTGCAAAATGACCTATTTAATACCTTGACTCGGCAATACCAGATCCGATCGTGTAAACGCACCAGTCCGATCCGGTACAGGCTCCAGAAATTCTCTCCGGTATCTTGGATGACAGATGGGAACACAGATGAAATCAAACCTAAAATGGAAAATACAAGGTCAATCAAAACTAAACAGGAACTCGATCTGTTCACTAAAACTTAACTTCATATGCAAAAAAATAAGCACCACAATTGAACTCAACAATTTTTCCCTCGTGTGTAAAGACAGCATAATTGGTCTGAAAAGCTGAATTCTTTGTCGATGAACCCTAATATAATTTTATGTTATTTTATTCCTACCCTCCGTTCGTAGCATTCTTCAACGCTCCAGCAAGATCCGGAACACAGAAGAAATCTCGACCACATGACACTCGTTGATCCGCCATTTTGAAAGCTTTCTTCAGCTATCTATCCAAGCCTTATCTCTACGAGCGGCTACTAAGCGTAATTCAAAATGGCGGGAGCTTCGCTTTGGGGAATCACATTCAAGAATATTTCAAGGAAACCAGTTTCTTTCATTCACATCGCATCTTGTCGATGCTTTAGCGTAGGGAAGCAATGGAGACATCAAGATAATACCCAGTTCGACCAAAAGTTGTTAAAGATCTTAGTTTGTCCATTGACAAAGAAGCCATTGAGGTGTGTAATTAAATCATTACAGTGAAAAGTTAAACTCCCTTCGAGTATTAAGAACCTGATGCCAGGAATTTTCCAGTTTAATACCGAACGTTAAAAGAACCTGTTTAGCTAAGTAAGGTCAATCAGGTTCTTATATATGTGGGTTACAGCTTAGTTCAGTTACATGAAACATTTCAACCAAAGACTTTGACTTTGAGATTTCTAAAAATTGATATTCAAAATTAGTAACAAACTATAACTGCTAATAAAAGTAATATTTTCTCAAACAAAAACGAGATCATGTCAAGTACAGAATTTATCTCTTTCATAGAATTTAAGTCTAATTAAGAACCAACTCAGACTGAAAAAGTGTAGGTTCTTACACACAAGTTTAACTAATACAATACACGAAGATATGCCAAACAAAACTTTTCTCATGACACACCTGGATGTCTATGACCTCTGGTCCAAGTTTCGCGGAGAAATCCTTCGTAATGATAGATGCAGTAGAACCCTGCTAACTCAAACTCAGTTAACTTAAACCCCCATGTAACTCAAACAAGATCTGCTTTCCCTTGAAGCCATTTCTTCAGTCATTTACTGTCAACAAGCTGAAACCCTCACTGACTCAGACCATTTTTTTGTTTTCCTTGGGGGTTTGAGTTAGCAGGGTTCTACTGAAAATTGCTATATTCTTTGGTTTTTGTTATTGGATGCTTTTTGGTGTGATACAGAAGTGTCCTGTATTCAAGTCAAAGAATTATCAAAACTATGTTAGGCCAGAAATTGTTGTGGCCCTCGTCTTTTACATCAGTTGATTAATTGCTTATGATTCCCAACCCTTCATTGGTGAGTGCAGGAGCAGGAAGTCAAATACTTGGTTGATCAAACCACAAAGATTTATCAGTTTATCAATCAATACAGTCGGCTTAAATTCATGTTAGAAATTCTCTTCCTTTATTCCAAGGAACTCAGTGTAAGAGAGCTGTGATTTAATTTATTGGCAATTTATTTATGGTTGATTATTTATTACCCAGGTATGACAATGCAAGAAATGAGCTGATTTCTGATGACATTGGAGTTGCATATTCAATACAAAATGGTATTCCAAATTTAATTCCCCATGATGGACGGCTCATTAAAAAAGACAACACAACATTAAGTGTGAATGAATCAAACCAAGACTCATGAAATCATTATCACTGAAGAAAAATTAGTTCTGGTACTCAAGTACCATAATTTTGCTGATATGTGTATATTTATATAAATTTAATCTTTTGTACTGTCTGATCATTAGAAAGACCAATTTCTGTCCATTAGTTTGTCAACATCCAGGGTGTTCTTACATATACTGATGCCTTTGGTTAGAGTTGAGAGGAATGGAATTCGTTTTTCAAGTCAATCTTACAAAGTGAAATATATTAAAGAACATTTGATGTGATAAGCAAAGTGAAAGTTTTCCTCTGTAGCCTTGTTAATCCTCACAATCTTGCAGGATGGCAATTTTTTTACATTGCAGAAACATATTTTTGGGGTTTAAGAAGACTGAAATTTCTGTCGACTAAGTTTGAAAGTCTCTTTACCCTTTAAGTCCCACTAGTGACCAAGACAGAATTTCTCTTTACATTATCAGTATGATATCAAGCAGACAAGCAATGAGACTAAAGAAAAATATCAATTAAGGGATTATTTGTTGATCCAATTCCAAATTCTCCAAACTAACATCACAAATTTTTTAGCAGACAGTAAGCAGAATTACTCATGAAATCTTGGGAGTTAAAGGGTTAAGACACAGAACATTACATAACAAGAGAGGAAACAATATTTTAAAATTTTATTAGTTGTTTGGTCATATAATAGTGTTATACTGTACAGTGTAAATAATCTTTATTGAACTATTTTGAGTAAATTCAAGCACAAAAAAATATGAAGTGACATATAAGCTGCATGCAGAGTTGGTTACCAAAATAAAGCAAAAAATTTGTTGCAGAAATTTATTGTGCAGTATTTTTTAATGAAGGATTTTTTTTTTCGGTTAAGGACAAAGATCTAAAAAATTTCAACTGTGAAAGATTCCCATGCTACACAGCAGCCATAAAAGCTTTTGTAACCTTCTATAACCTATGATCAGTATCTATATTCTCCACACTCATCTTTTTACATTTCCATTGGTACTGACAAGGAGAATTTGTTTATCAATCAAAGCTTCTTAAGTTGGTGATCATTTCCTTTATTCTCCTGATTTAAATGAAGATTTAGCAGTATTATGGTGAGGAGAAATTAGACTCTGGTCACTCAGGATTTTAAGGGTTAAGAAAAAAAAGAAATTGCTTATCAAATAAACATAGTATGTTTGCATGGCAACAATACTTGCCGCCATTTGTAGAGATAGCAGAGAGAGAGAGAGGTTGGAACTAATTTACCTCTGATTTAACTTCTAGTGAAGTCATCTGCCAGTATATCATCAAGATGTGCAATATAATTGATGGCATATTTCAGTATTTTTATCTTTGGTAGCTTTGTGTCACATTGATACCCTGGAATCAACTGTCTGAGATCTTGGTAAGCACTATTCAATTGTGCAACTCTCCTACGCTCATGCTCATTTGCTAAGAGCCTGTTCAGTTTTGTCCTTTGCCTACCCTTCATTTGATAATCCTCCTTTCCTTGCTTCCAGTCTTCCTCTTCTTCAGCTAGAACAAAATCATTGCTGTAAGTTCTTGGCCGGCGAGATGTTACTACCCTTGTGTTATATGGCTTTGTGTTACTGTCCCTGGATCCCTTCTTTGATTTTGTCTGTGGTATCTTTTTTGCTTCATGGTTAGATGCTTTTCTTTTAACCTCTGCAGATTGTTTTTTGTGCTTTTTGTGGTTGGTCAACCCATCTTTTTCTTGACAAGTTTGTTCAAACTCTTCATATTTATTAGTTTTTCTATGGGAGAGTAGAACATCACCACACACAATAGTCTCTGACTCTGGGGACTCTTGTTTAATTTTTTCTCTAGGAGGTGAATCATCAAGCTTTGTTTTTTCTGTAGTAGAATCCATCCCAGTTTTATGTTCATGATTTAAACTCTTTTTACTGTCCTCCTTTGTCAACATGTCATTGCTTTTAACAGGTGTCAGTTTTATTTTCTTTGTTGGAAGTTCTTTCCTTATTTCATCTTTATCCTCTTTCAAAGCAGCATTTGGAAACACCTCTACTTCTTCTGTCTTAACAAATTTTGGGTTGTTCTCTAATCTCACACCAAACATGGTACTGCAGTTACCAACATGAACTGAGGTTAAGTTGTCATCTACCTTATCATTTTCTTCTATTACATGAACATCAAGTCTTTCCACTGGACAGGACAATGGTTTGGAACTAAATGGACCAAATTGATGTGAGAAAATCCCATTACAGCCACTGTCATAATTCATGTTCCTATGCCATAGAGGTACTTGCAGTTGTGTAACATTTGTGAGAAATTTTTGGGATGTCAAACAGCACAAACAACTCGAAGGTTCTCCAAGTTTTCCGTGAAAATACCCACAACAATGAGTATTGACAGACTCAGAGGCACATTTAACCCAAGCTTCTGGTGTTTCTGGGAAAGTTCCTGGTCTGTTTAACAAGCATGCAGCATTTGTGTGATCCCAGTGGTGTTTTCTTCCCAGTGTGTTGTAAGGAAAATGTTGTGGATGAAATTGCATGGTCTGACAGGAAGGTACAAATTTTTCTTTCTCTTCTGAGCTGTTGGAAGGATCTTGGGTTTTTTCAGTGACATCTGGGAGGTCAAAATAAAATATATTTATAAATGATTGTGTAACTTCTCTGTATGAAACTCATGATTCCAACAAGATTTTAAAAAATTATAGATTTTGAACAAGAGGCTGGGTCTTAACATTATTAGTCATTAATTGATGTTTCCCAGGAAATTGTTTCACCCTTAACAGAGGATACTCAATTCCAAATAGTCCCTCAGACCTGGAAAATTCCTTTTCTAGATTTATTTCAATGTTATTTTTCTCTCCTACAATTATTATTGAGTTTAACTTTATTATTTCTTGTTTGGCACAGATGCTCATTTTATTTGCTTAACTTAATTTTTGTTCTGATTACCCTATGCGTTAAGAGTGAATTTCCCATTATGCACGCATTGTGTGCCTACAAGGGCGTGCCTAGATGGGGGAGGGCGTGGTCTAGGCGTAATGGGAGTTGCTGAGAATTCAGTTCCTGCAACATCTCTCTGCAATTTCTTTCTTCCCAATAAGTAGGTGGAACCTGACACAAATTAACACGACTCTTGTAAGATCCAATTTTTGCAAAATGCTATGACTACCAAACATTTATCTAAATCGCAAAAAACTTTTTAAATCGATTATTGGACTCTCTTCAATCTTTGATAATCAACTTTTTGGTGGTAACCTTGAATGTATTTGAAGTATTCTTATCTCGTACCCAGATTCTACTGTGTACCTGTAACTGAAATGTAGACTTAGCTGTGGAAGGCTTGGGGTATCCTTATCACAAAGAGGGTCTCAATGGGTTTAACCGTAAGTCATAAAAAAAAGTTAACCGTAAGCCGTAAAATGGCCACAATTTTAACCGTTTGCCGTAAAAGCCATCACACTTTTGCGACCCTCAACAAAGCTAAGGATATGTCAACCTGGTTTCCGTGATCACAGTGATGCGCGAAACATACTTTGCGTTCCCTAGCGTGAAAAAGAAACCACAGCTGCATGCGTACGAATTGAGCGATACGGGCGTGTTTTCAAACATCCGTAATCGTTCTTTTTTCCTTTGAACAAGTCAATCAGGTGGAGGATCAAGGCAATAGAGGATTTAATTAAACTACGAAAAAAAACCTGCCCTTGAAAAAAATTTGAGAGGTTTTCTTTTTTTTCCTTTTCAATTCCCTGGTATGAACAGCAATCCTCTGAAATCGATTGTTAATATGGCACCGGGTCAAAACAGAAGATATTAAACATCTTCAACAGAACAGGATAAGAAATTTTTTGCTTTGCAGGCGGTCGGAAATTGTTTCTGAATGTAGCATATGCAAATCTCACTGTACAAACAACACACAGGTACATGATAAGGTCGCCAGAGAAATTTACTCTTATCGGAGATGATTTCCATCGATCGCCTGTCTCGTATTTTTACGAGGCTACAGTTACAATTGAAGGTAGTCCTGGTAATCTAAAGCTATCGCCGGGTCTGAGGTTTTCTGAATTTAACCTTTTCCTAAAAAAAACTTTCACTTCTCGATCATGAAATCTAAACATCAGATATTAATAACTTAATTCTTCAACAAAATATATTTGAAAAAAAAAAGATTGCCCGTCTTGCTGCTGGTTAGAAGTGCATATAAATGAGTTTTAAAAAAATCTGAGATCGCTTCTTCAGAGAAAGTCTAACCATTATGATCAACATGTTATTGGCAACTCAACACACGCGAGATTTCCTGTAATAAAAACAGCTTCTTAGAATACCAGATGGAAATAAAACGCCGGCAGGGTGAACTGTAAGACGAACCATCTGGACGAAGCAGTTCTCTATTGTTCTTTTACTGTGAATACTGAACTGGTTTGGGTTTTAGAGGCCAATTGTCTGCCTAAACGACTTGTTAACTAATAGCAATAAAAAGATTTGGTTGCTTAAAGAACCCATTTCAATACCAGAAAGCCATTTAAAATGCGGATAAAAACCCAGCTGTTTTCGTTTGTAGTTCCTTATCAAAAAATATAAAATTCTTGTCATTGTTGATCAATGGCTGTTTTCACTGACCCAGTTCACCTTTTAAACCGATGCGGCATCGGAGATCACACGAAAAATCGATTTTCCATCTGTTATAGCATCGTTTCCCTGTGCCTACTTAAAACGCTTTGTGCGTTCAAACAATCTACGAATTAGAAGAAGGAACACGTTCACAGTAAGAATGGTTTCCCAGTAGCACAGTTGTTGCAGCCTGTCTTCCCAAATGTGAAGAAAAATCGGATTTTTTTCCCTTGACTTTTCGCTCTTAACATGAATACAATATGACATGTTAAACCCATCTTTTAAAAAACTTCCCTTTATTAGTGACTTTCCACAATCTTTCAAAACTTGAATAGTACGTTGAGGAAAACAACGAGAAAGTTCCTTTCACAATGCGTCATTGGATGAAATTCAACATGAGAAACAACACCGCTTTCTGAGTGATTCAATAAAATATTTTTTATTGTTTAATAAAGCCTAAGCATGAACATCTGTTCAGATAAGAATACATCTTCAACGGCCAACAAAAATTATTTATTTTGCATTTAAATTTTCCTTGGAAGAAAGAAACGCCTATGTTTTCCGGTCAAAATTGAACAGGTTTTCACAGAAAATATTGACGAAAATTGTCACTGTGATAAAACCCCTTTGCAATTCATATCTTCGAAGGTTTTGGACAATTTTGAGTCAAGGTTTTCGAGTAAATGTCATCTATTGAAAACTTAAATTAACATAGCAAATAAAACATTGTCATTCAATCGTATTTCTCCGATGTCCTCTTCATTTGAAAACGAAAATTTGCTTTTATTCCATTACCAACATCATTAGCAAGCTCCTTAATGTCTATCCTTGGTACATTAACATATCATAAATACGAGGTAAAAGTCGCAAAGCGTTGATTTTTACAACGTTTACTCGAAATTTGTGTTTATCATTCAACACATAACAAATCTCGCAGAAAAGAAATACACACACAGCGGCGCGTATTCACTGATACTGAACTGTCCGCGAATAAATTTCATATCTATTCGCTTTTCCGATAGATATATTTTAGAAAAATCCCGCGGTAAAAGGCGTGAGCCAGGATACTGGGTAGCTGTCGCCGTTGATATCGACACCATTGCACTCGAATTTCATCCCATTTTATTAAAATTTGTGCCTTTTTCGATTGTTGCCGCTAGAAAACACATGTCACTGTAGAGCAGTGTTGCTCCGAGCCGAGCCGCGGGCATACAACCCCCTGCATGGTCCATTTAATATTTCCCGCGCAACTTACCGCTTTAATTTTTTTTCTTGTCGCGAAAGTCCCGCTCGGTTTATTAACAAATTTAGACGCTTTTTCGCTCAGCAATTTCGGAAATTCTGTCTTCCTATGGACTACTTTTTCTCGGCTTCTTTTTGTTGCTATTTATGGGACTACAATTCAATCCCTCCATGAACAGCTGTGAAATTAAGGTTTCATCTGTTTACAGAACCGTTTTAATTTATGGCTAAATTCATAAAACAACATTTCCATTGCTTTTTGCGTTGAAGTTGCTAGGGATCAATCATTTCTAGCGATCGAGGGCTCTAGTTTTTTGTTTTATTTTTCGCAAAAATAGAATGCCGAATTTCACACAATGTCGACTCTCTTATTGTAGCTGTGAGATTTAAAATAGAAAATAACCACCGGGTCCGGCGCATTTTGAAAACATCTGCCAAACGTCTCCCAGGTGTGTGTATATTAAAATTACTGTTACTTGCAAAAGTGCTAATAAGAAAACCACCGTCCTGAAGATTTCTAGAAAATCTAAAAATCACTTTCAGTGCCTAGCAAACCGTATAAATGCCCGTTTTCTGGAGTGCAAAACCATGGATGAATATCACACAAATATGGTCTGGTACTTTAACTGATGAAATTTCCCCAATAGAGGGAAATAATGACAGCGTAGGCAAGTCGGAAAACTTGAATTAATTAAAGCAATCCCTTCTCTTGAAGTACAATCCTACCAGAATTGCGAGGCTTTGGTGATTTCACATCGTATCACCGGGTGGACGTTAAAATTGAGAAGCCGACCGTGCATGTTGACATTTGAACTATCCCAATCGACCGACCAAGAACTGCGAACTGTATATCTTCGTTCGAGAACACGTGTGGATTTAAGAGAGAAAATAGTCAAATTGACTCGCTAACTTACCGGAATCGAGCGTGGAATTTGCATCGGCGCTCTTTCGTCTTTTCACAAGAAACGAGCGAGGCATGATCGCCGGCGAGAATAAACTTGTGGGCCTTATTGACGACCCGTCTCTAGCACAGCTTGCTTCAATCTTGGTTACAGACGATAGCGCTCAGAATTCAAGGTCTTCGACGTCAGATATAAATAAACTCACGGAGCCTCACTTTGACACATGGGACCAGCAACTTCCGGTTGGGGGTTCAAGTCCTGTTGCTTAAATCTTAACTTCGAGCGTTCAAAAGGAAAAGGACTTAAAGAGGATAAAAATTCCCAATCTCCAATTGTTTATTTTCGTGCTTACCGTTGATATCGTTGCTAATCGTTTTTTTATTTTCGCATGAAAAGGGGCTACGTGAATACATTACGCGAACCGGAACCGGAAATTTACAACAGACAGTTTCATTTCCTGTCATTGTACTGCATGGTAAGCGGGAATTGCAAAACAGAAAAATAAAAATAAAAAATACGAACAGACAAAAACAAAATTAAGAGAGAAGAAAAGAATCTTTTGGATAAATAGAAATGTTTGCACAGTTTCCTAAGCGAATTTGAAGTCGAAATAAATGCACAAACTTCGGGGAAAAAAAAAAGCAAGGGCGACCTCCCAAGTTTCCCACGTTGATCAGTTGTTTTTGGTAAGCTTATTTTCGGTTCAACAATAAAGCGTGTGTATCTGTTAATAAACATGGATTGGAGAGTACACCTGTTTTCACGAGAATTTCCTTTCACGGTTGTTGTAAACTGCAAACATGAGATGTTGGAGTTCACTGATTAATTTTGAACTGAGAATCAATGATGATCATTTATTACTCTACTCTGCAGTCTAATTCTAACTTGGTACTTCTGCTTTCTTGAGCCTAGTCATGATAATGTGTCTATTTCCGGTAATTATAAGTGTTCCAGTCTTCAAAGCGGTGCCTCTTCGCTTTCAATCTTGTGTCTTCATCATACACTCTTGGCTGGTTATATCCGCGAATATCCTTTGGGTCATCACCTTATGATCGAGGACAAAGAAAGAGTCACTATGGTAGACGAAAGACTTGTTCCCAGTCTCCTATCTTTTACCAAGGAGTCTTGTACTCAGACATCCCACGGTCGTGTTGTTGGGGAGAGTAATTTAGAGATCTGAAAACGAAATTAGCGGGTGCCTCAGTGCTATCTGGTGAACTTGAGCTCTCTTTGAAAAGTTCTTACCGAAAAACTTTGATACAATTCGGTTGGTGTGGTTGAGTCGAATTTGTTATTCATTACAGTGACTGACTTTTCCCCTCGTAACAACTCCGGTTTTCTCCTCGTTTATAAATTATGTAGAACGGTTTATTTTTTTCAATTTTTTTAATTTACTTGTCTACTTATGGGCCTCATAATTCAACCTTTGTTTATATTATTCTCTCAGCAGTTTTTCGTTCGGAAAACAATCCATTTCAGTTTTCGGTTTTAATGAACATTTTGGCGAGTTTTCGTGTTTCAGGTGAACGCAAGAGAATGTAAACTGCAGTTTATAATCTCTTGTGTGTCCCTCCTTGATAAGAAATACGTTCCCAAAGTAAAACAATGAACGGAACGAACAGTTTACCTTTTGGCTGGCCCACTTGGTTATTCCCCATATGAAACGCTTCAGAATAAGAAATATACACCGTGGCAGCGATAAACAATATAACAAGGGCTTTAAATTGCTGCATCTTCTAAGAAAAAGCTATCTAAAGAAAAATCCACACAGAGTTGTCGAATCTTGATCAAGGAATGTTTTGAACAAAACCTATTCCTCCGTTTTTATCTGAGGCTGTCAGGAAAAGCGGCAAAGGAAACATGTGTTGTGCAAGAAGGAGATGGGACAGAGCTGCCGGTTTCTTTGTGATAAGAAGCCAGCATCCACAACCACAGCCTAAAAATCAGCTGGATGCTTCCTTAAAGGAAAGTCCTTCCGTCATTTTATCACAATAAAAACGGATACCAAGCTGATTTTAATCCATTTTGAGTCATGTAGCATTTAGAGATCATTGCAAGCTGTTCACTCAACGTTTCTGGATCGACAGAATAGCTTTTACTATTTTTTTTTAATACTAAATTAGCGATCTCAGCATAAGAATATCAGATACTCAAAGATTCAGCAGGCATTTTTTCGTGAGTCGAATTAACTCCACACTTAAACAATTATGGTTTGAGTGTTGGAGACTAAGGAATTCGATCCTCAAAAAATTTAGCACTCTCTCTCTCACAATTTAAAGTCAAGTCCATCCCTTGTTTTTCCCGTCATTTTGATGATACTCTCCCAAGTTTAAACAAGTTGACCCTGAGCACTAAGAAACAACAATCATACATACATATACAAAATTATCTTTATTGTTTGCGAATTCTCAGATTGAACGCGAACTAAATGACACGGTCAACCTGTACATATATTAAGCGGTCACCTCGTCACTCCCCGGGGTGACCGCTTAGTAAACCCATAGAGATCCTCCTGAAAGAGATATCCACTTGGCTAACAGACGGCCGGCTCCCACACAACCATATAACATGTAACACATTACCTGATAACAAAATATTTATCAAGGGAAAAATATATGGGTTATATCCTAAATGGTCCAGATAAGTTCATATCACTCCTGCCGGTCCGATATGGATCTGCATCCATTTAGATATCGCTTTTAATTCTCAATAATGGATGATTCATAAACAATTAAAGTGACAGAGTCACTTGCCAAACGGACACCAGGCATATTTAAACTGTATCTCAAGTATATTTTAATACTTTTGCACTTGGCTGAGTTAAGTTTTATCTTTTTTAGTAGAGTTTCTTTTTTTATTACCCAGGTAGAAAAGTTACCCAATGTGACAATTTCTCTAATCAAAGGGTCATCCTATAACGTTACCGCTTTTAGCTTTTTTTTGCGTTTGAAACTTTTGTATCGGTTTTGATCAGTCTTAGCCTCGTGTGACCTAATGAACAACATACTCCTACCACTCTATTTGATGAGAGCTCTCAGAAGTCTAATTTAACAACATAACACTACCACGGAAAAGGGCAATATAGTTTTACTGCTGCATTTGTGCAAGGATATGGCCACTTTAAAGACAGAAAGACACAACGAATGCACAGGTCGTGTGGCCATTTTGCCGGGAAATATTCAATTCCTCGTTTTTAAGCATAAAGCGTGATAAGTGGCGCGCAGGAATTTGAGAGAACACGAGAAAAACTTGTAAATCACGAGCTATAAGCGAGTGATTAACAAGCTTTTCGAGTACGTTGAACCAAACGCATTTATAATCACGAAGTATTTTAAGCTCTTTTCCTGGAACTGCATAGGGTAAGGCTGCAACGAGTTATTAAGTTCGTTGTTTAAATTAACCGAGGTCCTTTTTCAAATTTGGGTCGATCCTTCATGCAAATTCGAATTAAGTCGGTTGGCAATTCGTGAAAAGTTCGGCGTCTAAACGGCGCCTTGCTTCCTGCATGCTACCCATGAATATCAATTTTTCTCTCATCATCCACAGGTAGAGTACAAATATGATAATTTATTTGCGATGTTCTTGGTGAAAGGTACTCTGAGTGCAATAAATAGGTATATCGCAACGTGAATAGTTAGCCCAAAAACTGTGAGTAATAATTCCGTATATGCCTCTCTCGTTATGATGATATATTTCTCCTTTTGGAGGAAAGTGAAAAATTGTTACAAACTCTGCGAAACAACACACGCCCCCGCCAAACGTTTTGAAGACGCGCGCAGATCTACGACTTCGAGGACGTACCAGTCACCTGAACCACATTTGTATTAGCTTTTTAATCTACATGACATCTTTTCAATTTATACCTCATGCTCGCGAGTAATTGGTACTAATAAAGGCAGGCGGAGGAGTTCTGTTTGTTGGTCGATCCGTACCGTTTGGCTGGCCAGAAGAAAGGGGGTAAGTTTCTTTCGTTTGGCGGGCCAAAAGAAAACTGGCACTAGTTACCATTCTCCGTCCTGTGAGAATATTTAAAATGCTACGATTTGGACTACTTAAGTTCCTCAAACTTTGAGAATCAAATTATGCGTAATTTCTCGAGTGTGTTTGTAAGCTATTAGGCGCCTGAATCACAGGACGTTATGAATTCCTTAAGGTGAGTGGCCTATTCCTCCAAGATAATTGAAAATAATGTTTTAGATGGCGCGATTATCGAAAGTTTGTCTTGAGCTCATGCAATTGCGGCGTAGAGAATGTAATATTTACCTTTGCCTGTCTATAGCAGTTTTAGCCTCAGTGTACTTGATGATGATAAACCTGTAATTGTTGGTCTTCTGTAGATAGATAGATAGATTATCTATATTTACCCACAGACATCAGCCATAAAAACATTCAAATATATAAACATGCATTAAATGGATATTAAGATACCATAAAAACTATACTTAAAGCACAAACCTAACTAAAGCTGCTTTCCATGAATGCCATGCCGGAACGTACTTCTTTAATTAAAAGCTTAAATAATCCAAGGGACTCTGCTTGTCATATGTCACGAGGAAGTCTGTTCCAAAGAGTGGCGCCACTACAGCTAAAGCTATTTATGTAATAGTTTGTGCGCGGCTAAGGAACATTAAGCTTATTCTCAGAGTCTCTTAGGTTATATGCAGTTTCTCGCCTTTCAAATTTGGAACATAAATAATCTGGAACCATTGTGGCTCTTTGTATTTGCTGCTGGGAAGCTAGGTTTTTCCAGCTCAGGAGCTCAAACAAGTGACCAGCATTGGCGTCATAATTTGAATAAGTCAAAACATGGGCTGCTCTGTTTTGTGTCTTCTGTACCTTTTTCTGCAAAGTTATCCCGCAGTTTCCCCAAACAATATTACAATAGTCAAAATGTGGCTCAATCAGAGCTTGATATATTAGAAGCAAAGTCGCTTGAGGGACAAGGTGCCTTATTCATTTTATAGCCCCAATGCCAGAAGCAACTTTCTTTGTTAGTTTATCGATGTGACTGCTCCAATCAAGTTTGTTATCGATGGTCACTCCGAGTAATTTTGCGGTGGTGACCTGGCTAACTTGATTGTCTTAAATTGTGATCATCAGAGAAACTGTGAGAGTACTTAATCTCTGCCTTGAACTGATGAGCATAAACTCGGTATTAGTCATATTTAGAGTAAGTTTGTTTGCTCTCAACCAATTGAGAATACAACTGAAGATTGTCTACACAATCACCTGCATATGTAAGGTGGGTGTTGTCGGCATCACAAAGTGTGGATTGAAATTGACCAAATGTATGAGCAGTCTGTGGAAAAGTTGCTCTTTTTTTTTCTATTTTACACCAGTTCAGGTAATTTAGTGCTAACAACTGTGTTGAAAACGTAAATTGGCCACCGTAAAGAGTAAAAGAAGCTGATGTTTTGAGCATTAGCCCTTTGTCAGAGCAATTGGAGGAATTGTGGGTTGTGTGTGGGTTTATATGCAGAAAGTGGAGCTATGCTATTGGTGGGAATATGGTGACAAGAAAACAGGAATAAATTAGTTGAATGAAAAGCGCTCGTTGATTCCGTAGGGATTAAGGGTGCCGATTTGGAAGATAAATTTTTGTTGTAGTGTTTTGGGGCTTTCCAAACTCCCTAGATGTAAGGAAAGGCTGTGAACTTCCATATGCTGTTTAGAATGATTAGGGAGATTAAAGTGTTTAGCGACTGGTTTGGATGTGGCCTTGTCATTTCTTTCCACACTGTGAAGGTGTTCTCGGAATCGGTCACCCAGTCGACTCAGTTGTTAACACTAAATTACCTGCTATACTCTCCCACCAATGCAGCACCACAGTTTCTTTAGAAACTTACACCTTTTATTCCTTTAAAATTCAGGTCTGTTGACATTCCCCATTTCCTATTCTCCATTTCCTATTCCCCATTTCCTATTCCCCATTTCCTATTCCCCATTTCCTATTCCCCATTTCCTATTCCCCATTTCCTATTCCCCATTTCCTATTCCTCATTTCCTATTCCTCATTTCCTATTCCCCATTTCCTATTCTTTATTTCCTATTCTCCATTTCCTATTCCCCATTTCCTATTCCCCATTTCCTATTCTCCATTTCCTATTCCCCATTTCCTATTCTCCATTTCCTATTCTCCATTTCCTATTCCCCATTTCCTATTCTCCATTTCCTATTCCCCATTTCCTACTCTCCATTTCCTATTCACCATTTCCTATTCCCCATTCCCCATTCCTCATTCCTCATTCCTCATTCCTCATTCCCTGTTCCCTCATCCATAGCCAATTTAAAACTACAGTTGAGTAACGATTTATTAATTGATAACATCTTAGCAATAAATTGAGTTCTATCTTACAAGGTGCTAAGTTATGACTTGTTGTAAATCAGTTTGTATTATTCACTTTTAAACCTTCAATTTTATTGGCTAGAGCCCATTTTTATAACCATGAAAATAATGATAATAATAATTATAGTAATAATGATAACGATAATTTTAGAACAATCATCATTGTAAAGGATGCATTAATCAGTAATCTCATTTCCTAACAAGACTGAAAAACAGTTTAAAGATATATTGGTCAAAAGTGATGAATCCTATCAAGTTAATAATGATACAATAATAAGATACAAGCAATGAAGAAGATATTGATGAAAACTGAAATGTCTAACCTTTGCGTCTCTTTGCTAGTTAATGGTAGTGTTATTTATTTTTTTTACTTGAAGGAAAAAGGTTGGAAACTTCATTGCTGGTAATGATACCAGCCAGACTCAACAGACAGACCAACAAGCAAAGGGAAAACATACTCCTCTTCCTGAAGATCAATATGTATTTCCTGGAATAAGATACACCCTCCACTTTGTTACCATTGATGTCACAACAATTGGTCAAAGTGAGCACATAAATCTCCTTATAGATTTTGACATAACTAGTGCTTTGCTTAGACCCCTTACAGTGATTCACATTTGATTTCTCCTCACCACATCACTCCTGAATCACACAATAAAGTCCTAAGAATAAAAGGAAATGATCATCAACTTAATTAAGAAGCTCTTGATTGGTAAACAAATTCATTCTCCTTGTGAGCACCTTAGGCAGTGTATAGAGAACAGTATGGAGAATATGTATACTGATGATTGGGTGTCAAAGGTTAATGAGGAATAATCTTTGCGCAGTTATCATTACTCAGAGTTACTAATTGGTCAACTGTTGAATCTTCTCCTTTCTTTTTTGTATGAAATTGTCCTACATTTGTATGTTGTTTTTAAAGGAATCTCAGAAAACTTATTTATCTATTACTTCTGTCTAAATTACAGCCACATTTGGCCTTGTCACTGGAAAGACAAGTGTTTCTTCTGATGTGACAAGTAAGTATGCCAAGCTTGGTGAACCTTATCAGCAAGGATTTATTCTTGAAACATTTAAGGCAGTGCCTGGAATTGGGAAGATTGGTTGGAATGCAAGTGAAACTCCATATCAAGGAGTCTTCTCAAGGCCAATGGGGTATGTTAAGAAATAAAATATATCAGTCTATAATTTCTCTCAGTCATTATGCATGTTGTGATTGGTCAACTTAGTAGGCCATACTCTTTCATTTGCCCACTATGATTTAGAGATGTTTTTGTTGCAAAATCTCTAGTTCCTGAATTTCATAGGAATTGAATGTTTACATCTTTTGTTTTCTTTGAATGTGGAAGTTGTGCTCATTAAGGAGAATTTTCCCTGTGCCCTTGAAAATTTTTCTTCCAAGTATCTTCATGTCATATAGTCCACACTATCTGGCAACTTTGCTTTTTGCTTTTCAAAGAAAACCTTGTAATACTTTTCCATTTACACTGCTAATCTATACTGCTACTACAACAGGTTTCTGTATGTTTCCTATTTGAAAGCAATTTTCCTGAAAATGCAACTACTTATAGTGGACGCCATGTTTTCTTGAGTAATTTTTCATTGGAGTGAGAGACTCATAAGAGTCACCTTAATCAAAATATCTTTTATCTCCTTGTTGGTTTGTTTGAAATAATAATTTTCTGAATGAGACTTATATCACTTAATTGTGCAAAAGTATGAAGTAGATTTGAGGAGAAATAGTGGTATAATATTGGTCCAAAACATAAATGTGTGACACTGGCTCCTCTGATGTTAGGAAATAAGGTCAAAACAAGAATCTTGATGTACAAATTTTATTTTTATGATAATTACTTTTTTTGTGATTATGTGATTCATTAATTGATACATTCCAACTATTTTATGATCTTGTAGTCACACATTCAGAAACTCAATATCACATTAGTTAGGCGAGAATGAGTCCTTACCTTATGCTCAGAAAACTGCTGTTTTTATCAATCAGTGCTCCAGTTTACCACTCATGGCAACTGTTGGTGGTAAAGTCAAGCATCCAGACAGTGGAACGAGCAGGACTGTTGGATCAGCTCTCGGGTCGTGGTAATGATGTCACTAACCAGTCAGGAATTATTTCAGTGGTAAGTGGCACTGCTTTTCTTTCACTTAATTATTGTACAGTCCAGTCTTGTGTCACTTTTGTTGTCATAACTGTATCAGACTTTTTCTCTTAGTAACTTGCAGGTGAACTGTGTTTTCATTTTAAACTGAACTAAAAATCCACAAGAAATTGTTGGAAGTTCAAGTTGAAGTGGTTTAGTGTTACAAGCCTAGCTTGAATCAGCCCATCACTGCTGTGAGAATGTATCCATTTTCCTGAGCATGAAGCAACTAGGAGGTAAAGAGAGAGGAGATTATTTTCCAAGTCTGAACAAAAGTTGCTCAGACCATGACAATATAGCCAGAAAAGTCTGATAGTAAGCAAAGAATTCTCCAAACTCACTAATAAACACCCTGCTTAATCCAGAGTTGAGGTTGCTAATCACCAAAGCCGAGTTGTATAAAGGGTGAATAATGGATAAACTGCTAACCAGCAGGTAAGTGTTAGCAAAAGGTATGGTGTTATATCCACCCAACAGAGATTTATTCAGTGGATAGCATTATCTAACCCATGAGTTCAACTCTCCTCTACTTCAAAATGAAAACTAGAATTTAATAAAAAGGTAGCTTGTGCATAATGAGCCTGAAGTATGCAGTTATCAACACCAGTTTTTGCATTTACTTTTCTGTGGCAGATTGCTCAATATTGCAGGCAAGGTGGGCGTTTAGCAAGTGTTGAACTAACTGGACAGAAAGAAAGTCAGGGAGTGTTAGCAAAAGTTGGTGGTAAAAGTGAAGGTAATAATTACTTAATTATTGAACGTTTTCATTTAATTGATACAGTTTTTTTTTATTATAAAAATTTGTTGAAAGGTAGTTGAGAAGGAAATAAAGCTTGTTTTTTCCTCGTGGTTTCAGTGTTTGGCTGTGATGTGTTCTTCAACATGCCATTGCACCAGAACCCTACACTGTACACATACCAGCTTGTTAATGTTCCTGTTCAAATAATGTACTTGGGTCCTGGAAAGCTTGTCAAAGTCACTTGTGACTGGATGGCACACTTTACTCAACATTTACAAAAGGGATGGAAACTGGTGGATATCTTTTGGGATCAGGGAAAAAGAAGTCATGGAGGTATTTATGCTGTTGTCAATATTTTATAATATAATTTCTTTTCCAGTATGGCATATTGTCAAATCCTGCGATCTGATTGGTACTTAGTGTGATCTGGATTTTCCTGAAATCATACCAATGCCCTAGTGAGTTTTCATCTATAGTTTTACACAGAAACAATTTTGTTTTAATTTACGCATATTTAATTGTTGAAATATTTGCTAATATCAGTTAACTAACTCATTTCTCTGGTGCGCTAGACTTTTCCCTCTCTGGAGATCACAATTCAGTGTGGTTTTTTGAAAGAGAGTCTAAAAAAATGACAGACCTCTATCCAGTTTACCAAGGCACCATTATTGAGTACCAGCACACAGTAAAGGTATGTGGTTGTTTCTGGAACAGGAGAGTTGAAACTCAGACTTTGTTATGAACTGTTCCTTGTCTCATTACCAGACTGTGATGGTTGCCCCCTAGTTAACCATGGAATGTACATCTTCTTGCTCTACACCAAGTTTTATCAATTGAAAATGTTTAGTTTCATATGTTCTGTAAGTAAAACTGAACTAACAAAAAAGTAAAGGGGTAAGTTTCTAGAGAAACTGTGGTACTGCATTGGTGAGAGAGTGTAACAGAGTAATTTGGTGTTATCAACTAAGTTGATAATGTAAATTGGCCACGGTAAAGTTTGAACCTTTCCCTCACAATATCCAGGTATTTATTCTCTGTACTATCTGCCATGCATTTTATAAACACGAAGCTCAGAGAATTCATTCTTAAATGAAACAGTATCTTACCCTCTATTGTTATAAATACAATGTCAATGAAAGGATAAACTTAATTTTAATTTGTAACATCTGGGGCTGTAAGAGTTACTTTAAGCACATGGGAGCTTGCACATCAGGATTATTAAGGGTTCCTTTTCAATTGATATTTGGAAGAAATATCCTTACCTGTTTCCCCTTCTTGTTGATATCAACATTACCTTAATTTTTTTTTTTTAGGTACCAGTAATTAAGACATTTTTAGGACTGTAAATTAACTTCAAGTAGTTATTCAATGATTTTCTTCCTCGGTAGAACTTAGTAATTAAATTAGTACTTCTGACAACATTTCTTTTCCTCTGCAGCTGGGCTTTTTTGAGACCAAAGCCAAAGGAGATTGGACACCAATGATAACAGAAATGGGCAACAGAGGCTGGGAGCTAGCATGCATGTTAGAGACTCCAGAGGTTACAAAAATAGGCCTTGGAAACATGACATTCAAAGTTTTATTTTTCTTTCAAAGACGTTTGGTGCAACTCACATCACATGGGGGCTACCCCACAGCTATTCCACAGGGAATTCCTGGTCCCTATAGACCTCCTCAGGCCCCTCATGTTCCACCCCCTGGGGCACAGTACCCTATGACTGGGCAGGCAGCAGGGTATTACCCTCCTCAGGGGCAAGGTGCTTATCCTCCAACAGGAGGATACCCAAACTATGCACCTCCACCCTACAGTGCAGCACCTGAACCAAGTGCTCCCCCCCTGCCCGAGAAACAGTGAATGTCATAATTTATATCTGTTTTAGAAGACCTAATTTCAAATGTAATTTTTTATGCTGTGAGCTGCATACTATTATTCGTACTACAATCTCAAGCATTATCATTCATATATATATATATCTATATATATAAGTTTGACATAATTAGGAATTTTTTTCATTAAAATTTATTTAAAGTTATTATATGAATATAGCTAACTCTGAGCAGAGGCTTCTAGAGTGTGAAACTCCACTCATGTAATGAGGAAAGGAATTGGTTTGAAAGTGGCCTGTTGTTCTCTTAGTTTAAACATTGGCATTTTGTAAAACTATAGCCAAGTAGTTCACAACTCATTGGCTCTCATTGCTGGTTTACTTTATACAAAACTTGTACATCAACATTTCTTACCTTTGTGTCTGGATTTCTATCAGCTCTTCACAAGTCTTTTTAATGTGACAGTCACAAATAACATTGAAAGGTTGTAGAAATAATTGTAGGACTGTTAAAGTTTGTGCAGGTAAAGAGGTCTGAAAAAAATTCAGGCTTTAACAGAGTTAAACCTGTGCTCTGGTCAGATACTGGTCATACAGTACTACCTACTGAGTTGTGAAGCCACATATTGGGAGCATGGTAAATTTATGTGATATATCTTGTCACAATTTTGCATTCATCATAAATGAATGTGAAAAATGAAATATTGAATTCTAGTATATACTACACAGGTGGATAATACTTTCCACATACACAGATTGGCTAGAGAAGAAGTAAAGAGTAAGTATAAAGTGAGCAGTGATGAGTTTAACTTCCATTTTTTTGGGGGGTTTAACATTCAAGTTATTGTCAGTAAGTTTTCCAATTCAAATATTAAGAAACAGTGTTTCCTAATTTAGGAAACACACAGAATGCACTTGTCTTTGATGGACCAAGCATGCTTCAATTCAATCTTAATTTTATATTTTAAAATGTGCACTTTTAACATCGCCCATTCCACAATTGTTGTCAATGAGTTTTATATGCCTTAATTTGTTTATGCAAGGCATTATCATAAAAACGTTCTGCACTGTTTGTTTTTTGGGAAGGAACTTTGTCATTACTTTAGCCCAAACTTTCCCTAGAAATACTGGGTTGTGGAAAAGGGTTGACACCCATGGCTCACAATGACAGATAGATGAGACTCCTGCTTCTGGGCTATTGATTGGAATCAGGGGAATCCCTTCCCTCAAGATACACCATTTAAGTCATGTTTCAGTTTTGTATCTGCTTTTATTTTTTTTTTTTTGAGGGGCACCTCTAGGGATCTTGTGAGATAGCTACTTGTTTAGAGGGTGTCCTTCCATAGACAGTAAAAAGGAAGACAACAAATCTAGGAGTGAATTGAGATATTTTATTTAAGTTCATGCAATTGATACACAAGGTTCAAGAAAAATAGTGGTGAAGCTAATAATAATAAGGCAAGTCAATGCTACTGTGATACCAGAACTACCTAGAACTCTGGAAACAAGTGACCTCACACTGTGATACCAGGACATCAAAACATGGCCTCGGCTGCATTACAAAATACAGTATTAGTGCCCATTACTATGGGCAATAACCAAACTAGGTTACCTATGCAGAATGTTCCCTATAAGGTTGTGAGCTAGTCTCATTAATGCCTTGATCAATGAATTGATGCCACCTCTGTATCTTGAACCCAAAGGTAGAGTGAGAGCATGCACACCCTACAATTTGATAACTAATAGTTTTTTCAAGTGATATGGTCCAGTGTTGGAGATATCACAAATAAAAATACATGTCACCAGAATTATCACTGCAAAATGAAACCATACCAAATTCATACACAATAAAACCACCAAATGAAACCACTGTCTCATGCAAACTTCTTTGGCTAAATATTCATTTTTCTTTGTATGTGTAGCTCCTTCCTGGATAGCAAAACAGTCTCTACTATAAAACTGCTATCAGCCTTTAAATATCAACTAACGCCCCTCACCTTGCTCCATGTTTCACGTTTACCTTTAGTTACTGTTTGGTCTTGAACAATCTACAAAAAACCCTATTAATTTGCAGTCAAGTTTACATTACATTTTAAATAGGAGCTCAGCCTACTAATACTATCCCTTACAAAAGAACCTTGACTGCAAATGAATTTCCCTAACCCTAACTTCTCACAGAAACTAGATAGTCAAGCTATGAATAGTACTCAGGGACAAGAAATATTTAAGTTAAGTTAACATTCGCAAATAATGATTGTCTTTAAGTTAATGATGTGTACAAGTCACACTGAATACCTCAAACCTAAGCTTTTGAATATTTTTTTAAGCAACAGACTGATGCAAAAATTAAGAACAAAACTATTACTTTAAAGTTTAAACATTGAATGCTTTCTCCTGATTAAAATTTAAAAAATTATTGATTATAACATCAGGTGATGAAAGATACACTCAGTGTTAACACATCAATATTACAATGAAAATTAGATAGGATGAAAAATTGCCAAAACACTGTCAGGGAGAAACTGTTACCAGGATCCATTTTAACAGTCTGAATATGCTATCTTGGTTTTTACCCAATTCCAAAAAAGAAATTTAATTTCCTTCAAGATGTTATTTTGTCTAAGTCTGAAGGAGGGTAAAAACAACAACAGACAAAATCTGTGTATATCTGCACCAAATGAGAAAATTTGGTGAGGAAAATCATTGATCAAACTTGTTGAAGCATGATATCAAATAACCCTTCTCAGCTGAGTTTTCCCTTGAATGGACATATTGTTGCTCGATTACTAGAATTAAACACTGAAATAGCAGCAAAACACTACACCCAAAATATGATAACCATTTGAAACTGAAGTATTTGCTTGTCTTTTTTACCCATTTCATCTCATGAGCATGTTTACAACTGTCAGAAAAAGAAAACCACCAAGAACTCAATGAATAAAACAATCATTACCAATATTGATCCACTAATATATGGTAGAATATCTGAATCATACCGGGTTGTAATGAACCAAAATCATGATAAGTCATTCTTAGTGCTATGAAAATTGCCTCTAAACAAAACCTAGAAATGTGAATGATTGTTACTGTCCAAGATGAGTCATTTTCAACTCACTATACCCACAACTATCACTATATAAATAAAAAATTATGTGGTAGCTAATTCATGGTGCTAATGTAAGAGAATAAAAAAGACACTGCTTTAGTTTATCCTCTTTAATAAATTACTGGAATTCAGAGCCTAATAAATATTTAATATTACAAAATGCATTTAACAAGATTCAGCATCTAATTGTAGATACCCTTGCCTTATATTGTGTATTATAATATCAATTGGTAAATAATGATGAATGGAATCTATGCAGCCTTGACGTGTGACTTGTCTGGTTGGGTACCAAATGGATAATCCCACAATTTGCTAGAGATACCAAAACCTGTACAAACAACAGTATCATTATGAGTTAATAATTAATATTCTAAAATAGTGCCTGAGCAAGGCCTACCTATTTCCTAAGAAGCTACCATGGTAAAAATCCTTATGTACCACACCACTGTGCATGATGTGTGCAGTTCCACTTTGGCTGAAAGTTCCCATCAAGTTGAGCCACAAGGTTTAAGAACTTTTAAGATTGTTTTTCTGTTCTATTTCAATTGAGATCGACCTTTTGAAGCTCAAAATGAAAAGAAAAAATGCTAAATCATTCTTGTTTTGAAAAACAATGAGCATGTACCCTTTTCAAGCCCTGGAATCAGTTTTGGAGTTGATGATATTTCATCCCCAAACACCATGCAAATTATGGCTCTAACGGAGGCTTTACAATTTGGGGAACTCATCACAAAAACGGTAAACATTATTTTGAAGTGTTGATTCATCCTAAAAGTGTTGTTCAATGGAAGATTTTGCTTTAAAATAGAACACTTTTCAGAATTTTCAACACAAAGCAAAATATTTCTTGGTCATTTTAGCCTTGTCATTCATTCAATAGTTTTCAGGTTGAACACAATTACCTGATAAACCTGACTCAGTTGTAATAACATATTTCTTTTTTGTTTGAGGCTGCATGCTGCATTATAAAGGAATTGGTTTATGCTTTAGCTGCAAGTATATTGAGTTATGGATGCACTTGCTTCTCTCGTGCTCTCCAAACTTCCCACATGCATCCATAACACATACGCATGCTAAGTACAGACCAATTCTTCAGTGATATTATACTTTACAAAACTGTTTCAAATAGCTCATGCCAAAACCAACTGTATAACACCTAGAATTTTGTGCAAATGCTTAAAGGAACAGCACCTTGTAGATATTGAAGAAATGAATTTAATTTTTCTTAAAGAATGTTTTCCAAAAAACTCTTTTCTTTTAATTCCAGTAGTTATTATATTACTTAAAGTGTTTGAAAATTAAACATTTTTCCTAAAAGATTAAAATATATTCCATTCAACAGAGCAAGACTATGATTGTGAGGCACCAATCACAGCCTCCACAATGCACCTGCCCCATAACTGTCCTGCAAAAGACCCCACCATGCAATTAGCCACTCTTAGGCACTTAGCCTGTTTTATTAACATACAAATAGTATTATGTACCTTTCTGCTGGTCTTCAAAATGGTGCGATACATGGTATTTCTTCAGCTGGTGTAGATAACTTCCAGGTGTTGGAGAGCCATGGTGCAAGTAGTAATGCATCATATCATATGTAATATAACCAAACAAACCACCAGCAAACAAACTCCTGGCCATGGCTAGTGGGAACAGTAAAGCAAATGCAAAGTAGAAGATGGATGCCAAGATACCTGCAGCTACAGGAGGAAACACCAGTCTTCCACTATCAAAAGGCACCTTAAGAAAACACAGAGAAGGAGTGATGATCAGATTTCAATTCAGAGTACAATTGTATTTCCATGTTGTTCACACACCCTGAATACCACTTCCAAGAGATTTTTACCAAACATTACATATTGCTAATAACCCTAACAACATGTTATGTTGAAAAAAAACACAGATCTTGTCTTGGTTTGCCAGCACAACCTCACTCTAATGGTATCACAGCACAGCCAGTCCTGACCAGGTTTTTCTCAGATCTTCCCACATTTATTCTGTTATCAACGCAAAGATACAGTCACGTAACAGTTATCAACATGCACAGGACACTCAAAACACTGCATACCTTGTGATGCTGCCCATGAAGAAAAAAATGAATGGTGATCCAAAATGGGTCATCAGCAGGAACATGATTGATCAAGTGAAACAAGAATCGATGTAAGACGTACTCTATCAATGACCATATAAAAATGCCAAACAAGAACAGCAGTGAAAATGCAGATAAAGCCTTGAGTTTGGAATCTAGGTAATAAGGATTGATACTTCCAATTCCATTCTGCGTGGTTAGATCGTGGAAGCCCAGGAAGCTTACAAACAGTATGATTGGAATCCAGATTATGGGTACAACATACCATGGAGTGGTTGAAAAGAATTCCACAAAGTCAGACTCAAAGAGTCTCAAGGGGCGATCAACTGGGGAATGAACCCAACTTAGATAGTCTGCACGAAGTTTCCCCACTTGTGGAAGGATTGCTTTGTTCCAGTCAACAAGATCCTGAAAGAGATGGCAAAAAGAAGTTAACATGTACTAACAACAGAAACAACAACAGAGCAAACAAAAATGTTTAAAACAGTTATCTAAATTCATACTTCTCTCCAGCCATCCATAGGAAGATTTTGTCTTGTTGTTGAATCATATTCTTTGTTCTCCTCCTATACATAATACAAAGTCAAGTCAAGTCAACCAACAATAATGATCAGAAGTAAATTTAACACTACATACTTCAAGTTGATACTTCAAAATGTATTGATTTTCAAGTTCACACCTTTTCATCAATCCCTACTGTACTACCCACCCAGAGCAACCCATGAGCATTTGACTGCTCTCCAGGGAGGAGGAACTTAGACCCAAAGACTTTCCCGAGGTTGGGAAATTTTAGCCTTGCCTTGGTGGGGTAGGGATTTGAACTGGAAGTGTCAAGTCTTTCCTGCAGAACACATAAGTGGCTAAACTGCAGAATACCCTGCCACTCATTTACATCTCACTGAAAAAGAATAGCATCTGTTGTGTTATGCCTTGTTCTTGAAAACCGTACGACACATGTAAATGAGGTGGATCAAAGTGCCAGGGTATTCTGCAGTTACTCCCAAATGAGTATTATTTTTTTAGAATATGGATGAGTTTTAAAGTTAAGAGTTTGCTCTCATGAGCAAATGGCTCTGAAAAAAAGGTCTATGAAAGCTGAGCAAAATTTTTGAAGGTATGTTAAATAACTAGAGTGAACATTTAGTTGAGTGATTTTTAGGTTTTGAAGCTTGAATAGCCGAATCAATTGCTAATCAATGAGTAGAAAGTCACTGTCACTGGTCTTATTTTTTTCAAGAATAGTTGTTTCCATAGAGCACGAAATGCTATTGAATAATAAATGAACAAAAACCTTTCTAAAAATATCAAATGCTACTACATTTTACTCAGTTTGGAGGGGCATTTGACCAAGAAATCTAGCTCTTGGGTAGGTATTTTGAATGCAGTTGGCCCAGGAGGCGGGAGTTTTAATGAACCTACTGTCCAAAGTCCAAATTCTTAAGCCTAAATTGTTAATTCCACCCAGTCAAAGAGCATTTCACACAAAGAATAAATATATCTATAAAAAACTGATATGTAAAGTACATGACAAAAAAAACAATTGTTTGAAAACAAAAGAAAAACTTAATTAACACTCCTGTCGCATTCCAAAAGTTAAATTCAAATAAATTTGTAATAACGTAAATGTTAAAACAAAGTGCAGAATTAAAAGCAAATTTGCTGACCCATGTGCTT